CTTTTTTTAAGGAATGAACTCCAGGAAATGAATTTCCCTCTTAAAACTGCTTTCATTGCATCCCATAGATTCCGATATGTTGTGTCTGTATTTTCATTCATCTCCAAGAATTTTTTGATTTCCTCCTTTATGTCTTCTGTAATTCATTGATCATTCAGTAACATATTGTTCATTTTCCAGGTGATGCAGGATTTTTCCTTCCTTCTTTTATCATTGATTTCCAGTTTCATTCCATTATGATCAGATAAGTTGCATGGTATTATCTCCACACCTTTATATTTACTAATAGTTGTCCTATGGCATAATATATGGTCTATCTTTGAGAAGGATGCATGTGCTGCTGAGAAGAATGTGTATCCACTTGATAATGGTTGATATATTCTATAAATGTCGGTTAAGTCTAGGTTATTGATTGTGTTATTGAGTTCTATAGTTTCTTTATTCAGCTTTTGTCTGGAGGATCTGTCCAATGGAGAGAGCGGTGTGTTGAAGTCACCCATAATCATTGTGTTGTGGTCTATTTGACTCTTGAACTTGAGGAGAGTTTGTTTTATGAACGTTGCAGCACCATTGTTTGGTGCATATATATTGATAATTGTTATGTCTTGTTGGTGGATGGTTCCTTTTAACAGTATATAGTGTCCTTCTTTATCCCTTTTGATTAACTTAGGTTTGAAGTTGATTTTATTCGATATGAGTATGGCCACTCCTGCTTGCTTCTGAGGACCATGTGAGTGGTATAATTTTTCCCAACCTTTCACCTTCAGTCTGTGTATGTCTTTTCCTATCATATGAGTCTCCTGAAGGCAGCATATTGTTGGATTTGTTTTTTTTAATCCAGGTTATTAGCCTATGTCTCTTGACTGGTGAATTTAAGCCATTAACGTTTAAGGTTACTAGTGATATATGGTTTGTACTTCCCGTCATGCTTGTTTATTTATTTATTTTAATATGGCTAGTTTTTCCTTTTTGGTTATTTTTTTTTCCTTCCCTTTACTGAGTTACCTCCCACTGTTAGTTTTGGGTGCTGTTTTTCAATTCCTCTTCTTGTAGTGTTTTGCTCAAGATGCCTTGCAGTGCTGGTTTTCTGGCTGCGAATTCTTTTAACTTTTGTTTATCATGAAATATTTTAATTTCATTGTCAAATCTGAAACTTAATTTTGCTGGATACAGTATTCTTGGTTGGAATCCGTTATTTTTCAGCATTTGAAATACGTTGTTCCAGGATCTTCTCGCTTTCAAAGTCTGTGATGAAAAATCAGTCGTTAACCTAATTGGTTTACCCCTGAATGTAATCTGCCTCCTTTCTCTCGTAGCTTTTAATATTCTCTCCTTGTTCTGTATGTTCGCTATCTTCATAATTATATGTCTTGGAGTTGGTCTATTATGGTTTTGAATGTTTGGGGTCCTGTAGGCTTCCAGGATTTGGCAATCCATTCCATCTTTCATTTCTGGGAAGTTTTCTAGGATTATTTCATTTAATAGGTTGTCCATTCCTTTGGTTTGAACCTCTATACCTTCTTCTATCCCAATGACTCTCAAGTTTGTTTTTTTATGACATCCCATATCTCTTGGATAGATTGCTCGTGAGATTTAAGCATCCTTTCTGTGTTGACTATATTCTTTTCAAGTTGATAAACTTTGTCTTCATTATCTGATGTTCTGACTTCTACTTGATCTAGTCTATTTGTAATATTCTCGTTAGAGTTTTTAATTTGGTTTATGGTTTCCTGCATTTCTAGGATTACTGTTTGGTTTTTTTAAAAAAATCTCTATCTCCTGGTAAAGCTCATTCTTTGCAGTTTGAATTTGTTTGTTTAACTCGTTTTCAAAATATACTTTTGTTGCTTGGACTTGCTGTCTCATGTCTTCTCTAATATTCCGTTCCATCTGAGTTAGGTATGCCTTGAGTTCTTTCCCTGTCAATGTTTCTGATGCTTCTAGGTCCTCCTGTAGATTTAAGTTGTCCTGCATTGTTTGTAATCCTTTTTCCCTTGTTTTTTCATTTTGTTCATGTTACTTTCCAGTTCTATTTGACTGCTGTGTAACTGCTTTCTCCTATAAATTTGTTTTGGTTTTGTATATCTCTGTTGTCTCTCCTTTGTGGTGGGAGATTATGCCTAGAAATGTTGGTCTTTATTGTACTTTAAAGCTGATTCATTCAATTCATAAAAGGCTTCTGGGTTCTGTTTGTTTTGGTTTTTATAGTTCCATTATCTCTCCTTTGTATTAGGAGACAATGTTTAGAGATGTTGGATTTAATTGTGATTTAAGGTAAATTCATTGGTTTCATTAAAGGCCTTCAGATTTTGATGGCATATAGAGAACTGAGGTTTGGACTTAGGATTTTATGTTCAGGTCGGGCAATTTGATGGTATGGAGGTTAGTATATGTTAGCTTCTTTGGGGGGTCCTGCTGGCAGGACTCCACTCAAATGCAGGCGGATATTAACAAGAGAATAGACAGGAGTACTTGGGGGTAGTTAAGGGCTTAGGCGGACTATAGACCTATTCGTAATATTCATCTATTTGCATTTAGTAAGTTATATGTAGTCTGGGTGTTCATGCTTAAGAGGAAAGATGGGGAAAAGGTAAGGATGCAAACCAAGAAAGAGAGAGGGAGAGAAGAAAGAAAGAGAAAAGTATAGAAAAGAAAAGAAATGATAATAATAATAATAATATGCAGTAAAATAAAAATTACAATTGAAGAGAAAAAAATTACAATTGAAGAAGAAAAAAATAATTAACAAACATACAAAAAATTTAAAATTAAAAAATTAAAGAATTGAGAAAAGAGAAAAAAAGGGGGGGGGGGCACTGTTAGGCTTCTATTTTCTGTGCTTCCCGTAGGTGGTGCTCTGCCTTCCGGGCCAAGATTTTGCCCTCTGGCTGTAGGATACAGTCCGTGTAAGGCCGCTCCCTCCTCCCCCGCTAGTGTCTCTCAAAAACCTGTTAGCTTAGGTTTATTCCTGGCCTCTCCTCCCCTGGCTTCTCCTGCTAGCCCGGCCTTCCCCAGTGTGATGCCTCTCGGCAGTTCAAACTGTACTCTGGGCCTGCAGTTTGCTAGGTGTGGAGGGTGGCTATTGGGAACCGGCACCCTATTGTTTTGATTTTTTCCGCTTTCCCCTCCCCCAGAGCTGGCAAGACAGGTTTCGTTTTAGCCGCTGATGGGAGGGGGAGTTGGAGGTCAGGTGTCTTTACCCTTTCGCCATGTCTCTATGTAGGCTCATTCTGATAATCCCTCCCCCGGAAAGCCTGGGAGAGATTTTATGCGAATTCCCCGCTGTATGGGAGATGGGCTGAGTAACACACACCTGTTTTATTGTTGCAATCTGTCGGAAACTGGTGTTGGTGACGTCAGCTCTCCAAGATGGTGGCCACTGACTTCCTTGGTGGACTTTCCATTGCGGGGGATAGAACTGTACTGCTTCCTTCCCCGTCTCAGACCCCGAACTCAGCCCAGAGCTCAGTGAGGGCACAGCCAGCAGGACTCCACAGAATCCGTAGCGCCGTTTCTCTCTGCTTGCTGGTCGCTTCTCGGCGGCGCCCCGCCGTCTGTAGCCGCGGGGCGGGCCTCCGGGCAGGCGGCGGATCGGTCAGCCTGGATCTCAGGTCGCACAGTTGGCTCACGTTTGAGACTCAGTAACCGGTCCTCGGTGATGGAAATCCTTCCTCTAGGTTTCGGTGCACCCCAATTTTGCTGGAAATTCCTAACAAGATAGCTTTTTGTCGTTCTAACTTGTTTCACCTGTGCAGTGACGCGGTACACGGGGTATGATGCACTCTATTCGCAGCCATCTTATCTCTCCCCCTTGAGAAGTATTCTTTATATTTAAAAATACAGAGTCTGTTTTTTGGGTTTATTTTCTTGGTAAATTTGCCAGAAAACATACAACTATTACCTGAATTCAGATATAGGAATTTATGCTGTTACTTCTGGAGATCCTTTGCATCATTCTGATATCATTGATATCTACTAGAGACCTTTGTGGGCACTATAGAAGTAGAGTTGATAGGCCAGTTTTAAATGGAAAATTTTCATATCCAAAGCTAGGGCCTTAGAGTTAGGTGATTAAAAGCCTGGGCTTTGAAGTCAGGTTTCGAATCCCAGATTTACAACATATTAGCAGTGTGACTCTAAGTTAATTAGCCTTTCTAAAGATTCACTATTTTGCCTGATTTAAAAGCAAACAAGCATAAAGTGTGTTAAGGATTTAGCAGTGTCTATTATGATAAATGGGAACTAAACAATAATTATTATCACTCTGCGTATCAATAATAACAAGAGCTAGCTGATGTACATTCTCATTCCCAGTGTTCTCAGCTCTGCACAGTACTGATTCTGCAGGGCCTTAAGGAGCTGCTTTAAAGCTAATGCCTCATTGATGTTTTGCTTTGTTTTACCTCATCAACTCTGTTTTGTCCAGGCAGATGAATGGCCTACCTAATAGAGAGCTCATTTAATATAAATGTTATAAGTTTAGCAAAGCTTTGAAGTTTTTGGTCAGAAGAATGTCTAGAAGCACATTAATAATTCATAAATTAGTATAAAAAAGGAAAAAGAAAATGCTAAATGTTAAACAGTGGGCACAATTCAAAGTTTCTGTTGCTATTTTAAAAGAATTGAGAAACATTTTGGAAGTTATGTATAGTCCAGGTATAGCGTAAGCCTCTTTCTTTTTAACACACAGCCCTTGGGACACAAAGAGCCTCTCTCTACAGTTATAAAAGCAGTTCTCATGGGTTGGTTCTGTTTCTCATCTGAAAGGAAAACTCCTGTACCTGGGAAAGCCTTTTCTGGTAATAGAAGCCAAAGGCAATGTTTGGATCTACCATTAAATTAGAGCCTATTGGGAGTTTTGGAAAAGAAAAAAACACCTCATTTGTTCCAGAAACAGTGTTAAACACTGCCTGGCTCATAGTAGGACATCAAGTTATGTTTGCTGAGTAGTTGGATGAGGAGATAACTTAGAGATGTCTCTCTATGTGTTCTGACTTCAGAGGCACCAGAAACTGTTCAGCCGGGTGCCACAGCCCAGCCTGCCAGCTCACATTCTTTGCCATACATCAAGCAGCAGCTGTGGAATGAAGACTGCTACCATGGCAAGCTGAGCAGGAAGGCAGCTGAGAGCCTTTTGGTAAAGGATGGGGACTTTTTGGTTCGGGAGAGTGTGACATCCCCTGGGCAGTATGTACTGAGTGGACTACAGGGAGGCCAGGCAAAACATCTTCTCCTGGTGGATCCTGAAGGCAAGGTATCATTGATTTTTCATTACACATTTCACAGAATATTGTCTATTAAGGTTACTCTGAATGATATCCAAAACTTGAGATTGAATAGTGTTTATGTTTAAGCATTTACTTTTTTTTGAACCTTCCATCTGGAGCAAGAGGTGCTAAGTAGAGACTAGTGGAAGAATTAGAGTGGGAGGCCAGGCTGGAACATTAAGTTAAGGATAATCTCTCTCTGTCCTTCTCATTCAATCCAATGAACAGCTACTACATGAAAGCACAAGGATTCAGCTGTGCTCCTATTGACTCTTGTTCAGTGTCACATAAGTAGTTCTTGCTCTCAGGAGGCTTATAATTTCATAAAATAGTGTTTAAATAATCATAACATAAAGCCAAATGAGATAAGGATGGTTCAACCAAAACATTATAATGTTTCTCAGTACAGAGAGATCATTGTGGTTGAGACAAACTGGGAAAACTTCTTATAGGATCTGACATGTTAGGTAAACTATGAAAGAGTGAAGAATTTAAAAAGGGCATTTGGAATACAGTGAAGGAGTGATAGGAACAGATGGAGTAATAGAATGGTATTAAGCCAATAGAAGATGTATGGGTGGAGCAGAGAGTAACCTGTAGACATCTGGAAACGTTCTTTGGAGACGATGTATAGGGTGGAAATGCCTAATTTTCTAGACATTGGGGAGGAATTAGCAGTTTTATAAGAAGGGAATGATGCATGAAGAGGTGACATCAACCACAATAACAGCAGTAGTCCCAGTCCTCATTCTCCAACAGAAACACTGATTTGAAAATTCTGTATGGACCAAAATACTTTTATGAGAATCTTGGAATCCAGTTAATAAGTTAAAGTTGTCAAGGTGAGCATAAAACTGGGAATTATCAAGTTGAAATTGCTAAAAAGAGCAATTCCACTTTACCTATGGCAGTTCTCTCAAGCCAGCATAGCTTGGTATCAGGAGAGAATGCTCTGGATCATGACTTCTCCCTTCAAGGGTGAAAGAGAATGCATGGGATGGGAAGCGTGCATCCCATCCATTGCTCCAACTTTTCAGAGGACTGCCTGAGGGACTGGTTTCTGTCTTGCTCATATGGAGCACCTATGGACTTGGCATAATGGGATGCATCAGAGCTGATGAGAACAAAGAGCACAAAGTAGCTTGCTGCAGGTATTCTTTGCACAACCAGGAGACAGTGTACAACATGAGACTTCTCCTTTAGGAAGGGGTAGAACAAAATTTACATCCAGCATTCTGACTCTTTGGAGGGGCTCCTAATGGCCTGGTATCTCTCTTGCCTGACTTGGGTTGCTGATGGGAAGTCAGGATAGCTTGGAAGTCCATTGGCTACTGAGAACAATAGTGAGAGACTTGCTGCTATACAACAAAGGAGTTTGCAGTGCCATAAAAAGATACCAGAAAGAGGAAGAGAGTTCAAGCTTCTAAAAACTTGGCCTCTGTAATTGAGAAATTGAGTACACAGGCCCAGAGAAGTTTCATCTCCCCTCCATAAAAGGTTTTAGAGGCACCCAGAATCTCTAGCTGGTCTGATTGGTGAGTATATTCCCATATGTGAAGATAGTCTGTAAGGATTGATAGACGTAGCTGTTTTTCATGTGTGTGAATCCCAACACAAAGTTATGAGACACAAGAAGAGGCAGGGAAACATTGTCCTAACAAAGGAACAAGGTACATCTGCAGAAGCTGATCCTAAAGAAATAAAAGTATGCTTGCCTAGCATGTGTGAAGCCTTAGATTTGGTCCTCAATGCTGTAACAACAAACCTTGCTGATTATTTGAAGCTGGGGACGTAGCTTAGTGGTGGAGTGCATGCCTAGCATGTGCAAGGCTCTGGATTCAATCCCCAGCATGCACACTCACACATCCACACACCCAAACACCCACAATTAATTAATTAATTTAAAAAGGGAAATAGAGTTATCTGAATTACCTGACAAAGTAAAAGAGGTACCTGAATTCAAAGTAACCATCATAAAAGATGCTGTATGAGCTTAGGAACACAAACCGTGAACAAAATGAAAAGCCAGCAAAGAGAAACAAAATATAAAAAGGAATCAAATAGAATTTTTGTAGCTAAAGAATATAACTGAACTAAAAACAACAAGTTTCCTCAAACAGAAGTAAGAATTAGTGAATAAGTGATCTTGAAGGTAAGTCATTTAATATTGTCCAGACCCAGGTACAAAAAGAAAAAAAAAAGATAAAGATGCATAAAGGACTATAGGACACCATCAGATGGAAAGGAATCCAAAAAGTCAAACACAGAAAGGGAATAGAAAGCTTATTTAAAAAAATAATGACTGAAAGTGTCCCAAACTTGGGGAAGAAAATAGACATCGGACTCAATAAGCTCAAAAGACTTCAACTATGAGAAATTCAAAGAAGTATACACCAAGACATAGTATAACCAAATCATCAAAACAGAGAGTTCAAAAGCAGCAGGAGAAATGTTCATCATGTACAAAAGAACTCACTTAAGATTATCAATGGATTGCTCATATTTTCCACAAAACAATGAGTGGATTTGGCATATTCAATATCCTGAAAGAAAAAAATTTTACCATTCAAAACTACTACATCTGGCAAAAAAAATGACAGATGAGATAACCAAAATCTGAAGGTGTTCATTATCACTATCCATCCCTTACAAGAAATGCTAAATGGAATTGTTTATGATGAACCAAGCAACATGAAAATTTAAAGGTCACTGGTAAAGGTAAATATTATAGACAAAGAATACTGTTACACTGTAATGGTGGTGTATAAATAGCTTTTAATTCTGGTATAGAAAATAAGACAAAACTATAAACAATAACTATAAAAATATATTAATGGATATATGGTATGAAAAGATGTAATTTGTGAAAGCAATAACAGTATGCATGTATAGAATTTAAAATGTACAGTATTTATATGCTGTTGAAGTTGCTACTAATAGCTTAAAATAGATTATTATCATTTAAGATGTTTTTTGTAAGCCCTATGGTAACTACAAATAACATACATAAAGAAGATACACTAAAGAAATTGACAGCTATTGGTACATGCCTGTAATTCCAGTCGCTCAGGAGGCTGAAGCAGGAGGATCACAAGTTCAAAGTCAGCCTCAGCAACTTAGTGAGGCACTAAGCAACTTAGTGAGACCCTGTATCAAAATAAAAAATGGGCTGGGGATGTGCATTAGTGGTTAAGTGCCCTGGGTTCAATCCCTGGTACAAAAAAAAAAGACAAAGAAGTCAAAACATGTCACCACACAAAAAAATCAGTGAAATATAAAGCAAGACAGCAAAAGGTAGGACAAAAAAGACAGAAAACAGTTAATAAAATGGAGAGTTTTTTCCTATTAATAACTACTTTAAATGTAAATAAATTAAAGTTCACAATCAAAAGACTAAGTGGCTGAATAGATTTTTTTAAAAAGTTGCAAAGATATGTTATCCACAAGTGGCTCACTTTAGATTTTTTTTTTTTTGGTGTGTGTTGGGGGGAGGTACTAGGGATTGAACCCAGGGACATTTGACCACTGAGCTGCATCCCCAGGCCTATTTATTTTTAATATTTATATTTTAGTTGTAGTTGGACATGATACCTTTATTTTATTTATTTTTCTGTGGTGCTGAGGATTGAACCCAGGGCCTAGTCCATGCTAGGGCTACACTCTACTGCTGAGCCACAACCCCAGCCCTCCCCAAGCCTGTTTTGTATTTTATTTAGAGACAGGGTCTCACTGAGTTGCCTAGTGCCTCAATTTTGCTGAGGCTGGCTTTGAACTCTCCATCCTCCTGTCACTGGGATTATAGGTGTGTGCCACTGCATGTGGCTCACTATAGATTTAAAGACATATGTAGCTGAGATTAAAAGGATAGAAAAAGATTTACCATGCAAATGATAATCAAAAGAGAGCAGGAGTGGCTGAGTTTATATCAGACATAAATAGATTTGTCAAAAACTGCTAAAAGTGTCAAAGAAGGACATTATCTATATTTTTGTGCCACTTTTCCCCTCTTTCTGTCTTGCTTTGTGTATCTCTGTCTTTCTTTCTTTTATTTTTTTGAGGTAACATCTTTGATTCCTTTCATTTTCTTTGTGTATTTTCTATAGGGATTTTATTTGTAGTTACAATGGAGCTTACATAAACAATTTATAGTCATAATAGTTTATTTTGAACTGATAATTCATTAGATTGTTAATTATAAGTGTATATAAATCCAAGAGCAGAGTACAAATATGTGAAGCAAACACTGGCAGAACTGAAGGGAGAAATAGAAAGCAGCACAGTGTTATTAGGGGATTTCATTACCTACTTTTCAATAATGAAAAGAATATCAGAAAGAAGACCAATGAAGAACAGAACTTGAAGACACTATAGACTAAATGGATCTAATAGATGTATACAGCAGCAGAATACACATTTTACTTAAGTATATACATAGTAAATTCACCAGGATAGGTCACATGCTAGGACACAAAACAAGTTTTTAAGAAATTAAAGATTGAAATAATACCAAATATCAATGGAAGAGACTAGAAATTGTAAAAGGAAAACAGTTATTTTTACAAATATGTAGAAATTAAACAACATACTCTTGAGCAAGCAGTGGGTTAAATAAAAAATTTAAAGGAAATTAGAAAATATCTTGACAAATGAAAATGAAAAATACTGTATTAAACTCACAGAATGCAGCAAAATCCTTACAGAGAGGGAAGTTTATAGTGACAAATGCCTACATTGAAAAGAAGAAAGATCTCAAATGATCTAAATTTCAACCCCAAAGAATTAGAAAAGTAAGACAAACTAAGCTCAATTTTTGTAAAAAGAAAGAAAGAACTAAGATTAGAGTATGTATTGGTTAGCTTTGTATTAATCCAAGGGAATACCTAAGGCAGCTGATTTTATAAAGAAAAAGTTTTGTTTAGTTCATAGTTTGGAGACTGAAAATCCAAAAGGCACAGTGTAGGTTCGATGGTCATCCCTGGGTCACATCACTTCATAACACAGATGCAATGGTGGCTGCATGTGCAGGAGAAGTAAGTTATTACATTTTGAACCAGGAATAGAGAGGAGGCTGGGAGCCAACTCAGGCTCTCATTATAATCCTCTTGAGAACTGCCAAGGCGTTCTACAAGAACTACTTTCTGCGGGCACACTTCTAATGACTTAAGGAACTATCCTTAGTCTTTACCTTACAAAGGTTCCACAGCACTTCCTAGTAATGCCTCTGTGAGGACCAAACCTTTAGTCATAATGAACCTTTGAGAGTCACTCAGACTATAGACAAACCAGAGCAGAGCATAAACAAATGAAAAAAACAATAGAAAGCAATAGAGAAAAATCAGTGACACTAAGAATTGTTTTTTGAAAACATAAAGAAAATTGAGAAATCTTTAGCCAAGATAACTAAGAAAAATAAGACAAGTAAAATAAGAAATGAGGATACTACATAATTAAAAGAATAGGAAATGGATAAATTCCTAAAAATCTAAACCTACCAAAACTGGATCATGAGGAAATAAAAAATCTGAATATACCTACAACTGGTAAGGAGATTGAATCAGTAATCAAAAATCTCCCAATAAAGAAAAGCTCAGGACTAGTTTTTTTTTTAGATTCAATGAAATCCCAATGACTTTTTCAAATAGACACAGGAAAAATACTCCTAAAATTTATATGGAACCACAGAGAACCCTGAGTAGCCAGAACAGTCTTGAGAAAGACAATGCTGGAGGCCTTATATGCCTGATTTCAAAACATATTACAAAGCTGTATTAATCAAAATAATATGGTTCTAACACCTAGATTAATAGATTGATAAAGAGAGTTCAGGATTGAGCCCATTTATATGGTCAAATGACCTTCAACAAGGGTGCCAAAACTACATCATGGGAGAAGGATAGTGTCTTCAACAAATGAGGCTGGGAAAATTGAATATTCACATGGAAAGAAAGAAAGAGAGAGAGAAGGAGGGGGAGAGAGAAAAAAGAGAGGAAGGAAGGAATGAAGGAGTGAGGGAGGGAAGGAAGGTAGAAAGGAAGGAAGGATGGATAGACAAAAATCAACTCAAAATAGGATTAAATGGGGGCTGGGGTTGTGGCTCTGTGGTAGAACTGTGAAGAACTGGGTTTGATTCTCGAATTGTGAAGAACTGGGTTTGATTCTCAGCATGACATAAAAATAAATAAATAAGATAAAGGTATTATGTCCATATACAACTAAAAATTTTTTTAAAAAAAATAGGACTTAAATGTAGAATTTTAAATGAAAAAATTTCTAGGAGAACATAGAGGAAAAGCTTCTTAACATTGGTGTTGGCAGTGATTTCTTAGGTAAGATTCCCAAAGCACAGGCAGAAAGAAAGAAAGAAAAAGAGAGAGAAAGAGAAAGAAAGAACAGAAGTGGGACTCTATTAAACTAAAATGCTTTTGAATAGCAAAGGAAACAACAGAATAAAAAGGCAACCTTTAGGATGAAATAAACTATTTGCAAAGCATATGTCTGGTAAGAGATTGATATTTAAAATATATAAGGCAATCCTTCAACTCAACAAGAAAAACAAAAAAATATAAAAAGACAACATGATGAAAAAAAGGACAAAAGACTTGAATAGACATGTCTCCAGAGAAGATAAGCAAATGACCAGTGGGCATACGAAAAGTTGCTTAACATTGCTAATCACCAGGGAAAAGCAAATCAAAACCACAGTAAGATATCACCTTAGACCTGTTAAGATGTCCAATACTAAAACAGAGAGAGAGAAAATAACAGCTGCTTGCACAGATGTGGCAAAATTGAAGCCCTGTATACTATTGGCAGGAATGTTAAACTATATAGCTGCTATGGAAAACAGTTTGAAGGTTCCTCAAAAATAAAAAATATAACTACCTTATAATGAGTTTACTTCTCGGTAGTTATCCAAAAGAATTGAAATTAAGGTCTTGAAGTGTTACCTGCATTCTCATGTTAATTACAGCATTATTTACAATAGCCAAGAGGTGGAAACAAAAGAAGGGTTCATTAACAAATGAATGAATAAAGAAAATATGAAATACCTACAGTAGAATACTATTCAGCCATAAAAGAAGGAATCCTGTCATGTTACCATATTCTCAAGGATCTTGAGAGCATTATGCTAAGTAAAATAAACCAGTTCCAGAAAAACAAATAGTATACTATTCCACTTTTATGACATATCTAAAGTAGTCAGACTCAGAAACAGAAAATAAAATGGTGTTTGCCAGTCCCTGGGGAGAGGGAGAAATGAGAAGCTGCTGTTTTATGGGTATACAATCTCAAGTCATCCTAGAGAAAGTTCTAGAGACCTGCTGTACAACAGTGTGCTTCTAGTTAACAATACATTTTAAAGTGTACTATATATTTGAATCTCTTGAGAGAGTAGATCTCATGTGTTTCTTTTTTATCACAATTTCTTAAAAAGCCTACGTGGGTGGGATTGTAACTGTAAATGTCTTCAGGGTCCAACCAATACTATAAGTGAGTAAAAGTGGGAAGATGATGGAGTGAGCATAGGGTGCAGTGGGTCTGCTGAACTATAAAACACCCAGTCACCATTCAATTCCAAACAGTTGCTGCCTAGTAGGGCAAGATTTGATTTTTCCAAATAAGCCACAAAACCAGAGTTTTATATAAACTCTTCCCATTTTCAGTTCAAAATACCTAGAACTCTCCTACTTAAAAATGCTCCCTAACCTAATCCCCAGCAAACTATAACATCTGGTGTTTTTGGCCAGAGAATGGGACCTTTACAATCTCCATACTAGGAGGATTAATTTGATATTTATATGTTGGATCCATTATAGAGAAGGGTAAGACCAGGGAAAGAGAAAAGTAATTAGGAGCTTCTAGGTAAGAAGCAGTGAAAGGCTGAACCAAGAATGGAAGCAGGAAAAATACAGAGGGGAAGCAGAATGATTTTGAATTAACACTACTGGTGGGGCTGTAAAATGGTGTAGCCAATATGGAAAGCAGTATGGAGATTTCTTGGAAAATTGGGAATGGAACCACAATTTGACCCAGCTATCCCTCTCCTTGGTCTATGCTCAAAGGACTAAAAAACAGCATTCTGCAGGGACACAGCCAATCAATGTTTATAGCAGTACAATTCACAATAGCTAAACTGTGGAACCAACCTAGATGCCCTTCAATAGATGAATGGATAAAAAAAAAAGTGGCATATATGCACAATGGAATATTATTCAGCAATAAAAGAGAATAAAATCATGGCATTTGCAGGTAAATGGATGGAGTTAGAGAAGATAATGCTAAGTGAAGTTAGCCAATCCCAAAAAACCAAATGCCGAATGTTTTCTCTGGTATAAGGAAGCCGATTCTTAGTGGGGTGGGGGGGGGGAGCATGGGAGAAACAGACGAACTCTAGATAGGGCAGAAGGATGGGAGGGGAAGGGAAGGGGTATGGGGTTAGAAATGATGGTGGAATGTGATGGACATTACTATCCAAAGTACATGTATAAAAACACACACACACACACACACACAAAAGAACATAGCATGGAAGGATTGGTTAGCTGAATTGGTGTGAGGTGGGGATGAGATGGAAGAGATTAAAAACTTCTACAAGGTTTGGAGCCATTTGAGAGTTAGTTGAAGTCATTGTGCCCTTTTCCTCCAAATCCTTGAAAGTGTATGTATTAAAACTAGGGATATTCTCTTTTGTAGCTATTGTAAAATAATAATCAAAATAGGAAATTTAATATGACTATAATACCATTATCTAATTTATAGTTCCTATTATTTGAATTCTGTCCATTAATAAGTATATGTATATTTAATATGCCAAAACCCAATACCTTGGCAGAACTCAAAAGAATCCCTTGTAGGAAAACTAGTAGAATTACATAACAAGGTACTCCCTGATTATACACCATCCTCCCCTGGATGATTCTTCATCTACCTTCTGAACAGGAGCAGATGTATGCTAAACTGCCAAGCTAATAGCAATGATGAATAGTATTGTATGTCTTCTGTCCTTGCATAGATTGAGGATGCAATAATACTAGGAAGGAAATTCCACAGAGGAAGGCCTGGCATAGGAAAATAGAGTTCCTTTGGCATGCAGACAGTAAGTTCTGTGCAGAAAATATTTATGAATCAGCTACTTTATGAAGTCTGCTGGAAGGAGACATGATTGCCTATTAAAAAAGGTCTGAGGAGGTTTCTTGGAGGAGACAGAATTTGTGTTCAGCCTCCAAGGAGAGGTCAGACTTCTCTTCCTGTAGAGACAAGGTAATATGAAAACACACAGCTTAATGGAAGATAAATGTAATCCTGGGATTTACTCTTGAATATAAATCAGTTAAATATTTATAGTATTGGCAACAGGATAGAGTATATGAAATAATAACAACACAAAGAGACTGGTTGCAAATTTGAATTGAGTGACAAGTGCTTACCATTTCTTCACTGTAGTATGGTTTCTGTAAAAAGGTAATGAGGCATGAGAAAGTTATTTATTAGGGAAAATAGAGTTGAAAAGTGATTTTTATACTTTCTTCAGCAAAATTACTACTTTAGGGATAGGTCTGAAAAACACACATTATTGTCATTATTCTCTCACCCTCTCTACCAAAAAAATAAAAGATGATTTAAAAGATGGTAATCAGAAGTACTGTTCTTCATATTCAAAATTCAAATTGGTTCCCTTCTTACTGAAACTACACAATTTATTTGCTTTCCTTTCCCCACCCCAACTATCTATATCTTTCAGAAGAAGTACTCTTATTTAACCTAAATATATTTATACTTGCTCTTTAAGGTGAGGACCAAGGATCATGTGTTTGATAATGTCGGCCACCTTATCAGATACCATATGGATAATAGTTTGCCAATCATCTCTTCTGGAAGTGAAGTAAGCCTTAAACAACCAGTGAGGAAAGATAGTAATCCGGGACTTTCGAATTCCAAGAAATGACAACACTGAAACATCATCACAATGGTATTTCAAGAAACTCCATTTTTTGTTAGTCCACATTAAAAATTCAAACTTTGTTCCTAAAAAAAAAAAAAAGCACAAACTGTGAAGTGCATATTTCCAAGAACATCATGGACAAAGTCTTTTATAAAACAAAAAACTAACAATATATCTTCAGAAAATGAAAATCAGAGAAGAGGAAGAGGATTGCTTCATTTATAAAGAAATTATACATATGCACGGATGTCACTTTTTAAGGTCATATTGCATTGACAACAAGCTAAAAGCACAATTAAAATATCACATGCTAAAGACAACTTGAACTGCTGGGATAGTGTATGTGCCTTTTAACTTGATAATTTGGGGAAGTTTTCATATGGGGCAGATAGTCCATTTCATATGGACTGATAGTTCTGGGTGTTTTCATGTTCTATAACTACAGAACCATTTGCCAAAAATGTTTTTTCTTGCTAAAAAAAAGAAGCAATTTGCTTGATAGTTACTGACTTTATTCCATTTTTCTGCTTAGTAGCATCTTTCATGGCAATGTTAAAATAAATATGGCATTGAATTCAAACTGTGTCTATGCCAATGGAGTCAAATCAAAAGCCCCTGAAACTGTTAGTCTTTTTCATTGGTCTGTCCCACTTGCTGTTTAAAAGGTTGTAAAGGATCTAAATTCTTTGGCCTAATATTTCTCAATCTTTGCTATTTGGACTGTTTTTATACATTATGCCACAAACTTAAGAGGCCAAATCTTTCAGTCATTTTTTTTATTTTATCATTATTCTCTCACCCTCCTTGCCAAAAAAATAAAATGTGATTTAAAAGATGGTAACCAGAACTACTGTTCTTCATATTCAATATTCAAATTGGTTCCCTTCTTTTTGAAACTACAGAATTTGAAAATATAGGGAAATTATCTTTTGACTTACTGCCACTGAATCATAGTTTTGTACCTACATATGTCCTAGCACCTTTTCTAGATATGGTTAGACAAAATGCAGAAGGGTAAAAACATTGAATGAAATAGTAGATCAACTGGTAAACTGATAATGTAATTAAGCATTATATAGGGATAAGTATTAGGCTGTGACCTTGAGTAAGTTGCTAAACTCATCTGAATTCCAATTTTCTTGTTTATAAAATGAGGGAATTTGAATAGGAGAGTCTAGTCCTACCATAGTATGAGTCTATAAAAGGCAAGTCTTTCCTTTGTTAAAGGTCAATATTGATAAACAGTCTGTATGGTCAAGGTTAAAAATTCAGAGTTTTTTTCCCTTTAGTCTGTGTCTATATTCAGGATAAATGGCTAACTGAGATTAACATTCACATAGTTCAGACCCCATGCCTTTTAGTGTAAGACAGTGAAAGTTTAGAATAATATAGGCAACGTAGTACAAATGGATTTAGTTTGCTTTCATTAGCAAAAATGTACTGCAATTCTTTACTTGCCTTTGCATATATAGATATGGCAGTGTGTGTGTTTAATCCTGAATTATCTCAATAATTGCCTTAACTCTGTTTCATTTTGGCTAAGTAGATATAACCTAATATTTGTGACTGTGATACATTTGGTAAATTTTCAATATGGGAGACTTTTTAAAATAGAAATCATCAGAAACCAAACATAATGAACTCTAGTATTGTTATGGAAAGACTTATGATTTTATTTCTGTTGCCATTGATTTCTTAGGTAGGTTCATTTCTTTTTCTACAACTAGGAAATAATGTATCTTTCATTAATTTTCTGTACATCTTAGTTCTTGATCACTTTTCCTTATAAAGGGCATCAGTATGGCTACAGATAACTGAAATTTATGGGTAATCTAACCACCTTTATCAGAGACAGGGCAGGGCTGTGGTTGGACTCAATCTTCTGAGTAGAATGTTGACTGGGAAGCAAGAAGTTCCTGATACAAATGAACACAGATAGCAGTAATCGTGTGAGCAGTACATGTGGGTAAGCAGTATTTGACTATAATGGCATAGCAATTAGGCAAGCAATACTGTATTTATAAATACCACAGGCATAGTAAAAGAAACACAATAAATGTCTGCATGCTATTTTAATCTCACGTTCTTCATCCATTTTATAGTGAAAACCTATTATAAATATCTGTAAATGATTTTTTAAAAAAATAAATGACTATTGCTTTGTGACAACTGACAATATATGCCTGGTGTTTGGGAATTGGAAAATTTTACCATTTGTAGGATGTATCAGGGTCCTGCTACAAAGCAGATGGCTCAGATTGGGTAATTTGAGATGTGGGCAGAATACAGGGAAACCACAAGGGAAAATTCAGTGCTCTGGGGCCCAGTGGAAAGGAAAAGAGAGGAAGCAGTTACAGAATCCAGAGAATTGTGTGCAAGGGCTGCCTTTGTGAGCTATGGTCTATCCTGGAGGAATGCAACCAGCCCTGATATCTCAACAGAGAGAAGGTGAGGGGCATTTTTAACCTATTTTCCCCCCTCTCTGAATTCCAGATAAGATCCTCCCCTGGTCTAAGTAAATTGAAGACAGAACAAGACTTGATGTAGTCCTCCTGAAGGACTTGAAAGTTAGCCTCCTCAGGCACAGAGGAGGATGCAAAAGAGTAGAGAGAAAATCTGAAAGGGTAAATGGAGCATATCCAGCGAAGAAGACTTGGGAAATAGTCAAACTTCTCAAAACATCAGAGAAAGTTTCAATTTGTCATTAAGGCAAAGCTAATTTGCACAGAAATATGTATAAATATTTGGGTAACTATATATGAATCACGGCAAAATGTCAGCTTTTTACTATTAATAAAAACTGAATAAGCTGTATTTTGAGTGTTGGTTATTTTGCTTAAGAACAACTTCACATACATTTAAGTCTTAACATATATACTTTTGATCCTTGACTTCCCTGTTTCTTGAAAACCCCTCTGCTAATTTTGCCATTTTATTACTTGTAATTATATAAGGAAAAACAATGTATCTGACTCTGCTACTTTTTATGATTGGAATTATAGATCTACATAGATTACAACATGAGATAATTTCTTACTATGTTGAACACATATGTGAAACATACCATTCTATATCTATGGAAAATATTTAAATACACACATATTAGTATTAGAAATGAATTGGTACTTTTATCTTTTTGAGATTCTTATATATAAGATGGGATTTTTCCTTTATTTATATGCTTGCTCCTCCTTGCTCCAGTTTTAGGTAATTTTATTGTCTTACTAATGGGTCAAATAATCTTATTAGTGCGGGAATAAAAGAGAGTTTTGCCTATGGACCTTACAAAGAAAGAGCAATAAGGGAATGCTACACACAATTTTCACATGTAAATTTGATAACTAAGAAGAAACAGACCGATTTCTTTCAAAAGTACAAGCTATCACAATTCACCCAAGAGGAAATTGATGTTTGAATAGCAATATAACTATTAAGAAAAATTGAATTCATGATTAAAAACCAACCTGTGATGGTACTCAAATATCAACTTGATTGAATTGAGATATCCTTAGGAAATACCTATAGTTAAGAGATTTCGGGTGTGTCTATGAAGATGTTTCCAGAGTCATGTAGGCATAGCATGGCACTGGGATAGAAAAATAAAGAGGATACCCTCCTTGTTTGTTGGTATCACTGTTCAATACTCTGGGTTACCACATGGAACAAAAAGTGGAAAAAGGAAATAAGTGTGGGTACAAGCTCAATTTTTATTGAGTGGGTGCATCTATTGCTGCTGCCATGGCCCAGGAACATTGGACTCCAGCTCCTTTACTCTTCCAACATGAACTCTCACCAGCAATCCTCCAGGGAGCTTCTAGGCTTTCAATCTCCAGTTGGGGCTACATGATTGTTCCCTCTTAATCAGAGGCTCCAGCTTCTTGGACTGAGCAGCTATTAGTTCCTCTGGGTCTCCAGTATGCAGATGTGGAACTATCCAATTTTTGATCATGTAGATCCCCTTTTGTAATCATTTGTGTGGGTACACACACACACACACACACACACACACACACTCCCCCCACCCTCTGTTGGTTTCTGTTCTTCTAGAAAACCATAAGACTATCCCCAAAAGAAATTTTAGATTATTTTAATAGAGAACTCAATCATTTAAAGAATAGTTAACATCAGTGCTATGCATTCACTTCTTGAACATTAAAGAGAACATTGAACTTATATATAGGGCTTTTCCTTCATTGATAAGCTTGCTTCTCCTTGCTCCAGTTTAGGTAATTTTATTGTCTTACTAATGGGTCAAATAACCTTATTAATGTGGGAATGCAAGAGAGTTTTGCCTACAGACCCTACAAAGGAGGGCCAAATAAGGGAGTGCTACACACAATTCTCACACGTAAATTTGATAACTAAGAAGAAACAGACCAATTTCTCTCAAAAGAACAAACTCAATCATTTAAAGAAGAGTTAACATCATTTTTTGAAGCAAATATTACTCTGACATTAAAACCAGACTAAGTGAAAAAAAGAAAAATATCAATATCCTTGTGAATATAGATGCAAAAATCCTTTAATGTTAGCACATAGTATTTCAATATATAAGAATAATCATATAGTGAGATTCATTCCAGGGATGCAAGGCTAGTTCAGTGTTTGAAAAGTGATGACTATGAGCTACCACATTAACAATCCCAAGAAGAAAAATCGCCCAGATCCATCCGCACTGCCCTGTGCGAGTCCCAGGCTCACAGCAGGCCTGGTCCACCTCTCCCCCAGTTGGGCAGACACCTTCCAGAGCCTAGCCTCTGGCGCACTACCTCGGAGGTCAAGCCCAGCAGCCTAGATCCGCCCACACCAGCCTGTGTAGGTCCCAGGCTCACAGCAGGCCCAGTCAACCCCTCTCCAGGCAGAGCAGACACCTACCAGAACCTAGCCTCTGGTGAAGAACAACCCCTCCAACCAGCAGACTGGGAGGTCAGCTAGGTGACCCAGCACCACCCACCCTGGCCTGTGCAGGACCCAGATCCAGGATGTAGTAGCATTCATTTTGGGACACCAGCAGGGTCTGGAAGCCCAACATCAAGGTGAGGTACAGACAATCTGCATGGGTACTACAAGAATATAGGGAAGAAACTGTAATATCTCAGATCCACACTGCAAGAAAGGAAGACACACAGACAACATGAAAAAAACAAGGGAGGAAAGTGCCCCAAACAAACCAGGACACTATAATAACAGAACCCATTTCAACCCAACAGCGAAGCTGATGAAATGTCAGAGAAGGAGTTCAGAAGGTTCATAATTAAAATGATCTGTGAATTAAAGAATGACCTAAATGAGCAAATATAGGAAAAAATTGATCACTCCAACAATGAGATAAGAGAGCAAATACAGGTAGCAAAAGATTACTTCAAGAAAGAGAGACTCTGAAAAAAAAAAACAGTAAGAAATCCTTGAAATGAAGGATACAATAAATCAAATAAAAAAACTCAATAGAAAGTATAACCAACAGACTAGATCACTTGGAAAAAAAGAATGTCAGATAAGGAAGATAAAGTATACAATCTGGAAAATAAAGTTGATTACGTAGTGAAGATAGTTAGAAACCATGAACAGAACATCCAAGAATTATGGGACAGCATCAAAAGACCAAATTGAAATGTTATTGGGATAGAGGAAGGCACAGAGTTTCAAACAGAAGGAATGCACAATCTCTTCAATGAGATAATATCAGAAAATTTTCCAAGCATGAAGAACGAATTGGAAAACCAAACACAAGAAGCTTACAAGATACCAAATGTACAAAATTACAACAGATCTACACCAAGGCACATTAAAATGAAAATGCCTAGCATACAGAATAAGGATAGAATCTTAAAAGCCGCAAGAGAGAAGAATAAGATCATATATAGGGGGAGACCAATTCGAATCTCAGCAGATTTTTCAACCCAGACCTTCAAAGCCAGGAGATCATGGAACAACATATACCAAGCTCTGAAAGAAAATGGATGCCAACCAAGAATCTTATGTCCAGTAAAACTAAGCTTTAGATTTGATGATGAAATAAAAATCTTCCACGATAAACATTAAAAGAATTTAAAACTAGAAAGACTGCACTATAGAACATCCTCAGCAAAATATTCCAAGAAGAAGAAATGAAAAACAATGATGAAAATCAGCAGAGGGAGAGATTATACTAAAGGAAAATCTAATCAGAGGAGAAACCTAGTCACATTAAATACCAAAAATAAACAAAAATGGCTTGGAATACAAATCATGTCTCAATAATAACCCTGACTGTTAATGGCCTAAATTCATCAATCAAAAGATATAGACAAGCAGATTGGATCAAAAAAAAAAAAAAAAAAGACCCAACAATATACTGCCTCTAAGAGACTCATCTGATAAGAAAAGACATCCACAGACTGAAGGTGAAGGGTTGGGAAAAATCATACCACTCACATGGACTGTGGAAGCAAGCAGTGGTTTCCATCCTCACATCAAATAAAGTAGACTTCAACCTACAGTCAATAAAAAATAATAAAGAAGGATACTACATACTGCTCAAGGGAACCATACACAACAAGACTTAACAATCTTAAATATATATGCTCTGAACAATGGAGCATCTACATTCATCAAACAAACTCTTCTCAAGTTCAAGAGTCAAATAGACCACAATACAATAATTTTGTATACCCCTTCCCTGACTTCCACATGTTTTGCTTCTAACTCCCTGCACTGTTGCTGTCTTGCCACCTTCACTAGTGCAAGAGTGTGAAATCTCAGGTCCTTTGCCTCTGATTACACTTAGGGGTTCCATGTCGGATCAGGTGGGGCCCAGTATTTTTCCTGAAGTCACACCATTGTTTGGCCCTTTCCTGTCCCTCTTCCTCACTTCCTTACTGGTTTCGCCTGAAAGTGTTTCCTTAAATCATCTGCATCTGAATTTTCATCCCAAAATTCACTTCTTATAAACTGACCTAAAACAGATGTGTATCAAACAACTTTACACATGTGTCCCATTACTGGCCCATATAAGTATTAAAATGCATCGATATTTTTGATGAATCTTGTAATATTCTTATGAATGGTATCATTGTATTTTGTTAGTGTGCACTGAGTGCCTTGTGTGAGCAGTTAAAATATATACTAGTTTTATAAGTTCGTCTTGAGACTTCTTTTTTAACCTACTGAGTGTTTCAAGAAACAGAAGTGGAATGGTCTGAGCATCTCTTGGCATTTGGGTGGACTCGTATTCCACAATCAAATATAATTCTTATAGATTCAGACCTTTTTAAATGGTCAACATCACTTATAATAGCTTTTACTGATTTTCTGATTAAAAATCTTGTTGTGATTGAAATATTAAACATTAAATACAAGCAATTGGCCTTTCAGAACTTAAAGAAGCAAAAGACCTGTTGTCCCATGATTTTCATCCTTTTTTTTTTAAGTTGGGAAAAAAAGGACTCTGTGACAATATAAAACTGAAAAGAACAATAGAAATTGTTTATTTACTTTTAAGAAAGAAATATGATCTAATTCATATGATTTCATAAAAAATAGAGCCCCATAAATTTTCAAATAAACAAGTAATTTTTCACACTTGCCTTGGTAATATGTTGTGAGTTATTTAAATAAAAGAGATTCATAGCACATTTTATAAAGTAGAAGCAATTTCAGAGGAATTGGATGCCTTGGTTATAGATTTTTAGTAATAAAGATTTGAACTTTAAAATGTGTGTTATTTTAAAGTCATGTTGTAGGAAAAGTATAAATAATTTAAACTGGTTAACAGTACACAGAGTTGGATTAACCAAACGACTCATAGCAAACTTACTGAATATTGATGAAGCCAAAAAAGATAGTTAATAATTAAGAAGCTGTAATAATGGCTCTTAAAAACCATTACCTCCTGAAGAAAAGCACTATTAAAATCATTCTCCCAAAAGTGGGAATTCTGGCTATCCTCAAGTATGCATTAGCAGGAACTTTACAATGTTGTACATATAAATTATGAATAATCATTCTTGATATACCTGATAATAGTATACTCATTTAAATTTATGAATTCTAAACATTAACAAACCTTGATATCTTGTTTGGTGGATTCCTGGATGTGTGAAAAAATAAAAGCCTATAAGTTAGCAAGTTATTTTCTCATGATAACTGAAGAAATGACTTTGGCATTTGTGTCATTGAATGACCCATCAGAGAGATCCTTGTGGCCACTGTATTTGGGCTATGGAACACATTTGGTGAATCACTGGTCTAGACTTTCCAAGTATAATCTATCATTAAAAATGCATCTTAGTTATGACTGGCTATGTACAAGGAATATATTGATTTTGTAGGGCTCTTATAATAAAGTATCACAAACTAATAATTTTATTTTCCCACATCTCTGGAAGGTAGAAATTTAAAATCAAGGTGTTGTAAGAGCCTACACTTTCTCCAGACTTTAGGGGAAAAAAAATTCTTGCTTTTTTCCAGTATCCGGTGGCTCTGGTGTTCCTTGCCCATGGCAACATAACTCCAGTTCTGCCTCCATCTTAACATGGATCTCTTCTTCTTGTGTGTTTGTGTCCTCTCTCCTTCCAAGGACACCAGTCATTAGATTTAGGGGCTACTCTAATCCATTATCACCTGAAATCAACTAATTAAATCTTTAAAGAACTTATTTCTAAATAAAGTTAGTCTTAGGTTCCAGGTAGACATGCATTTGGGGGAAATAGTATTGTCTCTACATGACCCAAGCCAGCTCAATTAGAAAGCCATTTTAATTTTAAGTTCAAGTATCTCTGAATCCAGGGAAAAGCTGAACTAGCAGGCTTCTGATAGTACAGGAATTAGGCAAATCCATGGCTTTCAGTGGTAGAAGTTCATGATCTTCAGTCTTGGCTCTGCCACCTGCATGACAAGGCTATAGAGGCAGCCTATTTCCCATGAAATACAAGTGTAATAAGAGACTGCTTCTCTTCTGGAAGGCTGCTACCTTACTTTTTCGTGAAGTCCTATTTCAGTTATCTGGTAAAGGAATTTGATTGGCTCAGATTGGGTCTGATTCTCACCCTTGATCTAATAAGGTATGGCCAGAGCTGGGGATGGTGTGTGTATAGGGATGGTGCTGAGGTCACAATGGTTGTGAGCATGGGAGATTCTAGAAAAATATGTCAATGTTAAGCCTCTAGAATAGTGCTTGGCACAAAGTAGATGCTCAAAAAGTATTGTTGAATGAATGGGCTACAAATAATGGTCTGATCTTCCTCAGTTCTTTCCAAGCACTCCTGTTTCTGTCTCTGGTGCTTCCTAGTTTTGTTCTGTTTGCATAAAACCACATCCTTTGCATAGACTTCTCCTTTGCCTTATTTCATAAGCTTCTATTATCCTTGTCTTTCTCTGCCCACTGCTTCCAGAACACCTTAGTATTTAGGTTGTGGCAGTTGTACCTTCCTGGTTATTCCTTACTGCCTCAGACCCCAATGTGTGCTCTAATCCAATAAGTCATAGGATGTGGAAACAGAATAGAAAAAAAATCTTTACGGTTTTTACATTTTAAAAGCTCTTTCACATAATTTCTCCTCATTGCATCTTTCCCATGATCCTGCAAAGCTGATATTATCATTCCTATTTTCAGATAAGTGTTCCAGGCTTCACAGTGCACTCACAATGCTAATCAACTTGCCTGCTAAGGTCTCTCCTCCTCTTCCTCCTGGAACCTTCCTTGATAGATCCTTAAATATTCACTTTCCCTCAGAATTATTGCCTGTTCTACTCCTATTAAAGTTAATGTTTTCCTTGTTCATGTTATCATTTGTCTTTCTAAGTGAGGATCTTGTTCCCCAAACAGTGTTGGTATCTTGAAGGTAGGGGTTCTGCCTTATACTTTATATTCAAGCACCTTATGGGGACTTAAACAGGATAGGCAGCCAAAGAAAATGTTATTAATTATCATATAATCACAAATTCTCTAAAATCCATTTTTAGAGGCAGAGAATTTTGATTTATTCTTTATTCTGCACCTTTTATCAATTGTGTGTTAATCTCACTAATATATTTTGTATATAGTGATAATTTCTGGATTTAGAGATAAAGGACCTAGGTTCAAATTCTGTCTCCTATTAGCTGTATGGCCCCCTAATAAGTCACTTAATTTTTCAATGTAAGTTTCTTCAACTGTAAAGGGGATAATATTAAAATCATGAGCACCCAAATGAGATAACGCCTGTGAAAGGGCTTACAAAACTGTATGACTACGTAAGAAATTATAAACACTGCCTCCATATGTGCTATCACCCTTGCATATTTTATGCTTTTGTCTTTGTAAGAAGCAGCTATTTGTGGGCAGGGATCATTTAGCATTCTTGATTTAGCATTCTGTCTAACCCTGAGCACAGGACACAAGATACATTAGTTTACTAATGGACTTTGGTGGAAAAGTGCCGCAGTCTAGTTCTCATTAACAGATACCATGGCTCAGGTTCAACAAATGCCATTTACCTGGATGTCTTTTATTGGCTTTTTCTGGTCTATAAAGTCTTTATTTGTTCATTTATTAATTTATTCACTTAACACAATTTAACACAACTGTCTTGAGTGGCTGTCAGGGGTGGTAAAGCATGCTAATAGATGCCCAGGAAGCAGAGTAAATAAGTACCTCAAGAGATTCACATTGTTCTGAGTGAAACACACACACAAACACACACACAAACTGATTGTAATAGAGGCATGGTATCTCATGAAAGGATGAGTTGACTCTGGATGGTTGGGCTTATCGGTTGCCCACCCATCGACACTGTGTACAGGGGTGGGAGAGATAATTTCTTCCAAGGGAAGGTAATGAAAGTCTTCAGAGGAGGTATTCACTCTCTTGGAAGCAAATAGATGGATAAGCAAGGTAGGGCAAGGCAAATGAAAGAAACAGTTTGAGCAAAACAAAAGCACTCTGGGAACTATTGGTAGCTCAGCTTGTGATTTTATGCATTCTGTTACTATGGAGTAAATAACCATTTTGTGCCAGACCTTATGCTAGTTGATGAAGTTTCAGGGGTCACTGCAGGCATCAAAGGGTTTGAGTGGTGAGGTGGTAAAGGAAATCCAGCCAGATTACAAAGAGCCTTGTGCAGCCATTTTATTCCATACATATTGGAGAGGGTTAAAAGTGTATGTGAATCTGCTGTCACTGACTCTTGTATTCACTGGAACTCTTCTAACCAGAGAAGGCAGATAACAGTATCAGGCTTTACTGAATACTTGGAGGTGCTGTCTTAAAGGATCGGTTAACAAATATTTAAATGACGACAACATTCACACCCAAGGGAATTCAAGTACATAGTGAACAAATATGGGAAAATGTGCCATATTACCAGTAATTAATGAAACACAGATTTTAACAAGGCAGGAATTTCTAAGCTAGAAGACAAAGTAAAACAACAAAGGCCGGTGATAGCACCTTAGAGGACAAAAGAGTGAAATGCAAAAACTTTTAAGGCAAGAAGAGTTTGGTGGGGAAAACAGGGACTCTATGTGCAGCAGCGGGGTCACTGGGGTGTAGGAGTGGAAAGAACGCGAAACACAAGAAGCCGTCCCACTACCCCCCGCCCCCCCACTTCAGTGCCCTTCGGCACCAAAAGTGAGAGTCCGCTCAGGGAGCCAGTGGATCCGAAGGACTCAAGCTGGGCGCTCTGGCGTCTCTAGGCAACCGATAAGCCCACCCATCCAGAGTCAACGCTTTGGTAATTGGCTCATTAATTAACCAATAGAAGCACAGGGGGAACTTCCCGCCACCTCTGGCGCCCGCTTCAAACAGCCATGCTCTTGCAACTGCAGGGTGACCTCTCAACCAAGCTTGAGGAAGGCGGAGACCTCCGCCTCCTCGCCCGGGCCCCGAACCGGCCGGGCCCCGCCCACTAGGGGAAATTCTAGCGGGTGATTGAAGGAGGCGGCTGCTCTTCAAGAACCTCCGGGCTCCGTGGGTTTGTTTGTGACTAGGAAGGAGCCAGCGGATTAGAATCAAGGTAAGGGGGTTTGCTAGAAGTTGGTCTTCGGCAGGGGCTAGAGTTCCCCCGCGGTGACAGCGTCTGTGGCCTCCGGTGAATTTTGCTTCGCAACCGAGCTTGGGGTTTGGTTTGGAGGGGTTGCGGGGTTCTTGGGATTTGGTTAAAGCTTCCCGCCGGGCTGACCTGCCCCCTCCCCAAATCGTGCAGTGGTGGCCTGCCCTCGGGTTACGGGGGTTCAGCTTTTGACTTTTAAGTGTCACTGAGACCTCTTCAGTCTCCCAAGATCCTACTTAGAAGTGACATCTGGGAAGCTCTCCTCGTCTCCTTTCCAGGCTGCTGGAGTCACCTGGAGACTCTTCCCTGAGGACCCCCACCGGTGGTCACCTTGGTGCCCCGCCTGGCTCACAGTGGGTGCTCTGTGCACGTGTGTTGACCGAGTACAAGTGACGCTGGCACCCAAAGCTAGCAACCTAGGCTTCCTGGGATCCGTCCGTGCAGCTTTTGATCTCGTGGTACCTACCTGTTTGATGTCCCGTGGCTGACGCCCAACCGAGTTCTTTGGTAAGGTCATTCATTTATGCAAGGCCATGCATTTATGTATTAATTCAGCCTGTGGGTGCCTTCTGTGCATTAGGATCACTCTCTTCTTCCTCTGCTTATCTCGAATTGATGTGTCCAAGCTACTGTCATTAGTACTGAACACAATGTTGAAAACAGATATTGTCATCACTTATTCATTTTGTTTTTCCTAGCATGTCCTTTGTAAACTTGAACAATGCTTGGTAAATTGTTGAATGAAGAGGCCTTTATAGCCAGGTGTTGCAGGTCTACAGCAGGCTAGTGTACTCTGGCTATTTCCATTCTAGAAGGGAAGTTAGCAGGTAAGCAAGGAAGTAGAATTTTCTAATTTCCAGGGCAACTCTTATAACCAGTTCTGGGGCACCTAACCCTTTCTATCTTGTACTCAAGAACTGGAGTTTGATTTAAGCTGATTTTCACCATATACATCTATGATACCAGGCAGTTTACAGATGATTACATTCAACTGATAAGAGAGGCTGAAGGTGAAGCCATAAGAAAAGTATCAGAAATGCTGTCTGAAAGTGCAAAGAAGTGACTAATTTCATGGGGTAGTGGTGGTAAGATTTGGGAAGACATCTGGCAGAGGGTGTTATTTTCATCCCAGAGGAGGTTGTATTATTGTAATATGCAGGTTGTACATTCACCTTTTCTTAGAATACTGTTTTTACCCTCATTTCATTAATGAAGGAATGGTGGCAGTTTAAGATTGCACAGCTGATAAATAGAAGAGCCAAAATTGAGCCCAGGTTGTCTGAATGGGTTCCCTCATTCTTCAGCCACTTACACCATATTGTGTCCTTTGAGATCTATTTCTGATCTAAAGCCTGTTTTTTCTGTAAAACCTCCTTAAGCCTTCCTTTGTTAGACGTGTTAATTTGTGCTTTGTATTTTCCCCTTTGATAGAATTTATTACAATGTATCATTGTAATTGTTAGTTGCAGCATTGTCTCCCTAAGAGAGCGAGCTCCCCTTGACTGGTAGGTGCCATATCTTAGGTGCATATAGGATATATTCTGGCACACAGTAATGTTCAATAAAATTTTATTAAAATAATGAATTCCAATAGGTAACATGCATATATTCTTTTAATTTAGCAAACATTTGTGTGCCTACTATGACCAAGGAGCAGATACATTTAAAAAAAATTTTTTTTTAAATAGTTTTAAAGAGACAGAATGCCTTTGTTTATTTTTATGTGTGCAGAGGATCAACCCCCATGCTAGGCAAGCACTCTGCCACTGAGCTACAGCCGCAACCTGGCAGATATATTTTAATTCTGCCTTCAGGGTGCTTAGTTTGTTCAATGAGGTAAAAAAAAAAAAAAATGTACTTTGCTTTGTAACCTTTAGCCCAACTAAACACATACTGTTTTTCTTGTTGCAAGGAGGGCAAAGAAAATATAACCAGGGACAACAAAGTGAGTGTTCGATTAGATAACTGTGTCAGAGAACTGTCTAACCTAAGAACAGAACAGATATTCATTTTATATATCTTGTTAATGGATTCTCTATTTTAGGATGAGAATCTTACCTAGATTACCATATTTTTAAAAAAGCATATGTGTACTTCTTCATGTTGATTTTTTTAAATGGTCTGTCTTTTGAGTCAATAAATATAGCAATATTTTTTATTTTTACTAGTGGTATAGTATTGCCAAATTAATTCAAAAGTAATTTTTTATTAGGGCAATACTTTTGTAAATGTTCATTTAAAATATATTAATTGATAATTTTCAAAATGGTTTTAGCAGTTTATATTTTTGCCAGCAATTTATGAGCCATACACAATAGCCAATACTAGGGGTTACACAGTTTGAGATTTTTTTCAATACAGTGATTGAAAATGGCATTTTGTTGATTAAATGACACTTCTTTGAATTCTTCATGAGTTCAGCATTTTTTTCAAATTGACTAAGCACTAACATGTTATTTACATCATGTCACTGCCCATTTTAAAATTGAGTTGTCTTTTTCTCATTTTCTTGCAAAAATGATCTGTTAAGACCTTGTTTTGCAAATATTTTTCTCATAATTTTTTTCTGACTTTGTTAGTATTGCATTTTTTTGATACTTAATATTTATTAATTATATCTTTTGCTTTATACTCATTCTGTGGTTAGGTTTTCAATCAGTTTTTTTCCTTATGGTTTCTGGATTTACTATCATGCTAAGAGTATGTGTGTGTATTTAATATAGTCTTTTATTCTGGATATTATAGTAAAGTCTCTGATAGTGGTTATAGTGATGATTAAAGTGTCAAAGAAAAACATTAGCTTTTACTTTTAAATTTCAGTTATTTCAGTAAAAATACTAATTTCCTTTTAGTCTTTTTTTAAAACCTCATTAAGTTGATCAGATTTCTCTTTATGCCAAAAATTGTCTCTTAAGGTCTCTGATAGTTTGCACTTTTTAGAAGGAAATCTTATTTATACCTTTTCTTCCCCAGTGGGGGAGATTTGGTCTTTTAGATACTAATGGCATGGTTTAGATTTAAAATGTCATTTTAAGAAAATGCAGTTTTGTCTTTTATTCTCTTCACTTAAAAACACATTGTGGAATTAATCTATTTCCTGAGAAAAAGTAGTTCAGTATTTAATATTGTTCCTTTATTTAACAATAGGCTCTTGTAACCTTCAAAGTTCCTTTTCAATATTCAACTTCAATTAATGACCAATTAATAAAGGTTGGGGGAAAACCCCTCTCTTCTTTTTCTAATATAGGAGAAATTAATCCAAATTTTATATTCTGGGTTGTACTTGTAGTTAAATGAAAGAAGAGGCAGGGAATATAGTAAGCAGAATTTAGAAGCAGCAAGGATTCATGGTTATCTTTAAGGCCAGCTTAATCTGATCTCTTTATGGTGATAGAGTTTACCTGGGCTGGGATTTTAATTATCTGTATATACTATAGTCTTGATATCTACTTGCAGAGTGAAATAAATCTTAGAAACAGGAGATTATGTGTTTTCCTCTCACCCTTTCAACTACATTGTAGGCTTGTTACCATATCCAGATCTTAATCTTAGGCTGGTACATAAGAGAATTCTTGTAGGTGCTAAATGAAGACAAGGATTTAGATTCCTCAAGCATATAGTTTTCCTCTTAGTGAAAGAGTGCTTATATGTTCCTTCTCCCTCTAGTACTGGCACAAGAGTAGAAAAGAGTAAGTATGGCTGGCCTAAGGAGCAGATGCTGGGAAGGTTAAACTTGACATGAAAAGTTCAAGTTGATAAAAGTTGATTAAAAAGGATTTGGATGCAGATACCAAGAGAAGAAAGAATGAGAAGGTGGGGTGGAAATTAGAGGCTGGCCAAAAAACATCAGTCCTTGAAATAAACAACAATAACAAATAGGTATATGGGAATTTTCAGCGTAGAAATTGATATTTGTGTTAATGCCATATTCTGAAGTGCACATTTTAATTTCACATTTTAATATCCACAAAGTATGATGTGTCATAATTTAATTGACTGCTTTTTTTTAATGGTACAAATGGAATTATCATCATATAATCAAGCGTACCTTAGGTTTGATGAAATGGGATATCTTTTGGTGTTGGACTGTTGTGATATAATTCTCAACTCTTAACACAGGGAGTTAAATATTTTTTCCTACTTAAATTTTTTCTTTTTTTCCTTCCTTCCTTCCTTCCTTCCTTCCTTCCTGGGGATTGAACCTAGGGCTTTGCCCATGCTAGGCTAGTGCTCTGTCCCTGAGCTATATTCCCAGTGACTTTTCATTTATTTTGACAGAGTCTTACTAAGTTGTCCAGGTTTGTCTTGAACTTGAGATTCTCCTGCCTCAGCATCCTGAGTAGCTGCGATTACAGGCTTGTACTACCACACCAAGCTAAGGAAGATAAATTCTGTATAGAAAATGCATTTCGATTGCTGGGTCTCTGTGCTTTTTATTTGAATTCCAGTTTAATGATAGTTTAGAGCCTGAAGGGTGTAGTGAGTGAGTTGTGGCTCAGACTCACATCAAAGTGCATTTCATTGGCATGAAGAGCACTGGACTGAGTGGTGGACCATATTAGGCCAGGTAATGGATGATACCTGGTTACTTTTTTTGGTCAGAATTGTTCAGAGTTTTGAAATTCTGGGAATTCTAGATATAGTGTCAGGATCCCTAAGTTTAATTTAATAATCAACAGTCTTTCTAAGTGTGAGTAGTCAAAAATGCATCTCCAGTTGTTGCTTCTGCCACACAATAGTGACTGTTCCTCAGGGAGCTTTTGCTGTTGCTTTTGGAATTGGAACCTCACAATGGCATAGCTTCTGGTTTCCCATCTATCTTTCCTTAGTATTTTGCTGGAACCTGATTGTATAAAGTTTGCAAGCAGAACATTTAACACTTAGATTTCTGTTGTCTACTCTATAATGTTAGCAGATTGTAGTGGTTTCTGGGTAGCAATATTAACTCAGGATTTAGGAACTCACTTTTTGTAAAGTATGAAATTTGGATTTGTGTTGTTCAAAGAATGAAGAAAATTACTACCTGTGCCATACATCAACTTGAAAGTTTTGTTTGAACTTGTTAATAAGATTTTTGTGTTTGGCACTCTTCTATTTCATTATCATTATTTTACTTTTTTGCTCAAGCAAAAATTCTGTGTTAAATTATACTTTCCAGGCCATTAGAAAAAAATTATTTGTACTTTTATTACCTATTTTCATTTAAAATTTTTTGAATTGCTGCATGCAGATATTTTCTATGGATCAGAATTAATTTGTAAGAGCTCTCTTTATATTTGTAATACTGTTTATCATACATGAGTTACACATATTTTTTTCCCAACCTGTTGTCTTTTGACCTGGGGTATGGCAGTTTTATTATGTAGTTTTGTTCTGGGGAGATTTTATTGGCTATTTAGAAATCAAACATCTTCCCCTTCCCATAGGAGGACCATGTCATTAGACTTTGGCAGTGTGGCACTACCGCCACAAAATGAAGAGGAAGAATATGACAAAGAAGATTATGAAAGGGAAAAAGAGGTGAGTTACTCAAAAAAAGGACCCTAGGCCCAATCTTTAACAATTTGTACTTAATGATAAAAATTATATCATCTTGTGTCATTTTGAAGGGATTTATAATTCTTAAAAACAAAAACACAACAATACAACAAAATCCTAACACCTGAAGCCTACTTGGACCTGAGAAGGTAGATGAGTGGAATGCTTCTTTCTTTGAGAGAAGAATAAAACACAACTTAGTGTTGCCATCAGATAAATAGTTAGTTCAATTCTTTAAGAATTTTTGTTTAGGAGACAGTGACTGGCTGTGGAAGGAGAGGCCAAGTTTCTGTCTTGGAACAGAAAATGGAGTCTTCAGGACGTTTACAGATGAGTGGCAGACGGTAAACAACCGAATAAAGTAATTTGAGTAAGTGCTGGTATATCACTGGTTACTCAGTGAATAGGCCATTCTCAAATTCCAATCTCCATATCATCCTGATCAGCTGTACATTTATGATCTTGCTTTTGCCAATTCTGTTCCATCCATTGTTTGCATTGAAGATCAGTTGGAGAAAGTGCATTTAGTCTTCAGAAAAGGAAAGGACTTCCTAAATAAGTGACTTAATAGTCAGAGGACATTTACAGCAAATGGAATCTCAAACCACAGACTACAATGAATAGACTCATATTTCAGACAAAAGCCTTCAATCATTTTATAGAAAAGTAAGGCACTATAATAATTTTTAAATTGCTGTACCTATGGTATACTGGTATATATGGCAACATGGTATCTATCATGCCAGTATTCATATCAATTAATTATTGCACATTATTCATATTCCTCACAACTTACTGGAGCATAATTTCTTGGTGTACCATTTGAGAGCTACTGTTGTAGTTGTCCTTGCTACTCAGTAGACCTCATTCAGAATATTTTAGGCAAATGTTTACAAGTAAAATATATAAAGCTGGGCCACAAAAGAAGAATTCAAAAGCTCTTTTATTAACTCGTCCATAATGTAACAATGTGGCTTTACAAAATGCTTTTCACCTAAAGTTGCCTACAGTGTGATTTCACAGTTATTACAGATATGCTTGTGGTTATGCTTGAAATAAGAATGGTTGTTATAAGCATCTATTGATAAAGCCACAGCTTAAGGTAGATTGTCATTTGGGATTGTCACAGTCTGTTGAAGTATACATGTATTTTCTGTAATGTCACCAGAAGTAGCTCTGTGATAATTGTTTGTTCCAGATAGTACAATTATGTATGTATGTACATATATATTCTGGAACTGGTAGTTTGGGGCAGAAATAACTTAGTAATCTGTGCTGTCAAGATAAATGCTCATGATGGCTCATTTAATGATGATATTTATATATTTGAAAGTGATCTTGGTAAAAAGGGAGGTGATTTAAGTAGCAGATAGCAGTCAGAACCTTGAACCTGGTAATGGTGCTGTGGGTCCTCTTAGTTTTATATTGGTACTTCTCTTCTAATAGAATAATAAAGTTTCATTGAGCCTTGGAATTGTGTATTTTAGAGGTAGATTTTCTAATCAGTACCTTTTCCACATTTTAACTGCCTTGCTTTGATGTAGTTATAGAAACATTTTTTTATTTTGTTTCCACTAGAGGGGGCTAGTGTTTATTTACATTCCATATTATTTGATTTATTTAGTGAGATTTTCTTGTCATTCCCCAGATAGTTCAAGAAGCAAATGGTTGTGTCTTGATATTATATATATTTTTAATCCATTTCTTATACCTTATCTGGATTATGTCTTGTGAGTTTTTCCCAATGCTATACAGGTATCTTTAAAGGAATATTGAATGATCACTGTCTGGGTTGAAACTTAATTGTATACAAACAGGTAGAAATAGTGTCATCCAGTAACCAACTTCATGTCATATTGAAGAAGAGGACAGTGGAAATGGGGAGATTCAGACTCTAGGTTCCAGCTCTGCACTTGACCTGTGTTTCCCTGGCTTGCCCTTCATGTTTTCTGGACCTTGGTTTGCTTGCCTTTAAAATGAAAAACTTGACATGGAGGAACTCCAGTGATTGCTCTTGGCCTACAATACTATTATGCACCATTTATAGTGTGGCTCATACTTGTCTAATAAATGTTTCTCTTTCAGATATACAGCAACCTAGACCAGGTCTCCCCTACTTACACTATGGAATTTAGTTTAGCTGATGAAATGTTTCCCCCACACCTTGCATCTGAACATAGCATAATTCATAAACTAAAGGTATAGCTGCCAAGTTATTCTGGTCCTTTATCATTCCCATATTGGACCTTTTCAAAGTATGTTTTAAACTTGGTTCTTTGATTAAAATAGATTCTGCTTAGTGTGTATCCATGAAAGCCTTATTTTATAATTCATTTAAAAAAATACCAGAATCTCTTCAGAAGTGCACTTGCCAGGTTGCCTTCTCCAAGGGTAGATGACTGTTGGTTACTCCATTTGTTGTTTTTCTCTTGGGAGAAAATGTATTGTATGGTTTGTCATCTGAGAACTTCTGTTTTCATGAATACCAGGGGATTATAGGCTCTGTTTAGTCAATTTAAGTGGAAAATCCTAACAAAGGGCTGACATATTGTCTGTTTTACATTCACTCCTGAACAGAAGTTGTTGATGAAATTCTTTGAGTTAAATGCCCTCTTTTTCTTTTTAGGAAATAAACATGAAGTAATAAAGGAAGAGGAGTTTATAGAATGATTTAGAATGTGTTTTAGTAGAAGCTTTAACAATAACATATTCTCTTTTTTCTAGGGGAGGCATCTCTTAAATTACTAAACTCAGTCGATAGACAATAATATCCCACTGAGAAGATTGCTACTTGCAGTCAAAAAAACAGTCTGTTGAATTCTAAATTAATGAGGGATTAAATCTTGTCATTTATAAGGATTATTAATTTTGTCCTTCAGTATGTATTTGGAAGGTGGCAGATCTAAATGAGGAAAATTTAGTTTCTAAAATTCTCTATTTATTATCATGGATAGGTCAATATGGCAATTTTGTGTTTGGTGGCACAAGGTTTAATGACCAAAAGCAAAATCTATTTGACAGTGGATAGGAGGAGGGCACACTTTGATCCTGAGCAATGGAGATGTTGAGGGTGGGATTTTGTTCCTGAATGACTTTATTAGAAGGACTTCATCTCATTTCATTTCTCTCTGTCCTGAAAGTTATAGAAGCTAAGGAGGAGGATCCAGCCAAACCAAAGAACTTGATGGAGAAATTTTTTGAAGATGAACTAAACTGTTTAAAAATGTTAGCATATATGTAAAAATATAAGACTCTAGATACTACAGGGATGAGTTTTGTTTTTTTAAATAGCTTTAATTATTATTTATTTATTGTTATGTGGTGCTGAGGATTGAACCCAGCGCCTCACGCTTGCTAGGCAAGCTCTCTATCACTAAGCCAGAACCCCAGCCCCGAGGGCTGAGTTTTCTAGTTAGCAAGTTAATCTACAGATCCAGAAGCATTTTGATCAGCTGATTTCTCACACTCAACTTAATTTTCTTCCATGGATGCCAATTTTGTGATATCACAAAGAAAGCAACAGTAACTGCTTAATTATTATGTAGCTATTTCTGTCTTTGTGAGGCAGGGGGAAATGAATGGTTCCAATGTCTTTGGCAAGGTTCCCCTGAATTATAAGGCCATGTACTTGCACCTCACTAAAGGTTTAGAAGAAAATATTCTTTCTGTTCAGGAATCCTTACTTGATGTAAGTATGAAAGATTGATTTTATTGTTATGTTCTCTTGTGTAACATGTGAGGTAGTGTTTTTCCATAAAGTAGTGATGCTTAGTTCGGACAGAACAGGTTGAGCTACTTTTGAAAGACATCATAGATATTTATTTTTTCCCTAGTACATTGTCTTGTTAGCATGGTTTTGCTACCTTTCACTTGAGGCAAGTAATATTCTTATATATTGATGTATTTTATTTGTAGTGTGTTGTTTTTTATTCTTTATAATTTTTGATCAACTCTGATGTGTCTATCACTAAAGTGGCAAACTGATTTTCAACTACCCTGCATGAGCAGATAGGCAAGGATTTGGTCGTTAATATTAGTATTAAGCAGATTTAAAGGTGAAGACAACTTTTCATTGAAATGCATTTTTCTTTTGTTTCATCTTTAACCAATCAAATTCACTGAGAAAACTTTTTTTTTTTAATCCAGGAATATCAGAAATATACGTGGAAATAAGAAAGTATCTACTTCACATACTCCATTCTCATTTCCAAATTTTATTTCACCACAACCTAACAATTTGGGACATTCTTTTCAGAACTTTTCTAAGAATATATTTATTTTCGTTTTTATCGAATGTTTTAAGAAAGTTTGTAAAAAAAAATTCTAAGCCCAATACTCAGATATGAACTGCAGCTACGTTCCATTTCTTTTATACTAGTGACAGAGAAAGTGGAAAACAAAAGCAAAAAAGAAACAAAAACCTGCCATAAACCAAAGAACATCTCATTTTTTCTCCAAGGTTTTACAGAGTATTTAATGTCTTTAAAAATCACTCATTACATAATTTTATGGGATTGAATTATGCACTTTGGAGAGGGACTTACTCAACTTGTTAACTGGTGCTTAATTTCTTAAAGAGAAGTCATTATAAGCAGTCCCCTTACAAACTGTTTAGTAACATAATATTTGAATCTTCTAATTGTTACAAATTTTAAGACACTGTGTTGGGACATGAAGAAAGACAATTACCCATCTTGAAATTCGACAAATTTTTCTTTTTATCACAATTTATCTCGAAACTTGAATGGATCTATTTTATCTCTCTAGTTCATGTAGGCAGAATGTTAAGAAGAAGATTTTCCTAGAATAAAATTGGAAAGCAAAGTCAGATTATTTTATGTTGGTATTCTGCTTTTGAGAATGCTATTGTAGAAAGTCCGAATCTTTTGGCCCTCTTTTTACTCAAATGTCTTATTATAGTCCAGAGTATTGTATATCTTTTCATTACTGGAATTATATAACTGACTACTAATTAATTACTCCCAACAGGGTTTCTCTCACATTGTGGGAGCTTATGGACTTTTAGGCCACCTGCTGCTGCCTGCTATTCTTACCACCTAGGCAAAGTGCATCTGGCAACTCAGATTCCCTGTGGGATGTCTGATTATCAAGTCCCCAAGGTCTAATAAGGGGCAAAACAGGACTCTGCAATGCAAGTCTTCCCTTTGACAACATAATATAATGATTGTACCATTTTTATGACTTGCTATACTACTATAAAAAAGTTTTTCAATTCTGCTGTAATGTGTGTGTTTTTAAATCTAAGACCTTTGTAGAAAAAAGTAAAGCCTTCTAACATAAATCCTGATATTATGCATTCCTTTTTCCTTAAGTGAGATGATGAACATAATTCATGTGGAATTTAAGAAATTAGTTAAATGGAAGAATTAAACTTCCATGGCTTGTCACTTGCTGTTCCAAGGCAGCTTTGGTTGGCATCTTGGGTTTAGTCAGTGATACTGATGTGGACTTTTCTGACTCAGTTGCAGCAATTACTCACCGACCTTCCTCATGATATGCTGGATGATGAGCTCTCCTCCTCTGAACTTCACTTCTCAGACTGTAGTATGGACGGCACAGAGGAAGAGTAAGGACCTAAAATCACGAGATTTTCCTTGCATGTTGCATTTTATGTATTTTTTTTTTTTTTGGTTCTTGCTGGTAATAATAATGTAAGCAATTGTAAAAATTGTTGACTTAATTCTTAAATTAAGTAAAAATTGAAGGGGAAAAAACAAATATAAGAATCTTTGGGTTCTCTGTGTTTATATCTAAATAAATGATAGGCTTTAAATCTAGAGTATTGATTTTTCTCAAGACTGCATCCTTCTGAGCAATTGGAGATGAACTGGAACAAGCATCAAATTCTGCCCAAATCTCAAAGTATAAATGTAAGTATCTGGTGTGATCATGACTGTGAATGACGGTGGGAATAGATTTTAGTGCTTTTATTTTACTCTGTCATCTAATAGCACTATAATGAAATTCAGGGCTTATATATTGGAGAAAAAAGTGGCAATGGCTGGGAAGAGAATCAAAATAAAACTGAAGACCGACATCCTGAGTACCATCCCAAAGAAGATGGAGATGAAGGTGGGAGTGGCTATAGTCCTCCAAGCAAAAATGAACAGACTGATTTGTATTGCCTTCCTGAAAACTTCAGGCCTTATACCAGTGGTCAGAAGCAGGAATTTAATAACCAACCAACCAGTGTAGTTAAATTTTCTGATCCTCAGAGGAACCATTTTCAGGTATTGTAAGAATTTGACTTTTAAGAATTTGTGTGTACATGCATTTGCATGATGTATGCATGTGTTTAAGAAATGCATGTAAATGCGATGGTAAGATGATTTATTTTAACTACAAGAATTTCTGAGGGTACAAATATTCAGCTGAATTAGTCATGCTATCTTCTGTTTACAATCAAATGTAATTATGATCTTAAATCAAAAGTTTAAAATAGAAGCTTTTTGGAAACAGTTATTTAAACATTAAAAGTGAAGTATGCTATAGAAATAACTGTCCTTCACTGCTGCTTCTGGCTCTGCTATTTCAGTGTGCTTCAGTTAAAAGTTATGTTTAGGTGTCTTGATAATAGGGTTTAAAGCAGTAATTTTATAGATTACAGCATTTGGTTTCCTCAATTTTCTTGCTTGCTACTCTTATAACAAATTTTAAGTCAAACACTTCAAAGCTAATGCCTGTTTTGTGTGGTGTTATAGTAGTAGACAGGATGAATTAACACACTTTGTTTTTACTGTGAGCAAGTTTAATGAAGTAAGACCTCAGGATATACAGTTAGTTGCTTTGCTTCATAGAATTTTCCAATGACAACAAATGCCTCACTTTGCCAATTGCTATTCTGTGTCTCTCAATGACAGGATGATTTTTTTGGTCCAATTAAGGTGGCTATTTTTTCTCAATTCTGTTTCTGGACAATGTTACTCATTCTGTAACTATTGAATATTTATTATGTGTAAGGCATTGTATCACATGTTCTTGTTATTAGGTGCATTTTTATATTCCCTAGATGTTGAAATCATCTAAATCATTTGTAATAAAATATTTGTGTATAATTTCATTGGGATTTGAGTTTTATTTACAAAATTATGTGTTCAAAAGTACAATGAAGTATTCAATAACAATAAGCACTGTTTTTGAGCAGAGATGTCTGTAAAAAAATTCATAATGATACCACAATTAGCTTCTATAGCATAAAATTAAGGTGTCTAATTAAGAGAATTTTGGAAGAGAAGGCCAAATCCTAATTGTTCATTTCATTTGTCATCTTATAATAGCAATTTGGTTCATCACAAGGTCCCAGTTGTCAAGCTTTGGCGCCATATAAAGTGAAATATAAACCTTATCAATCTTCTGTCCAAGATAACTTACCAGTCCAGGAAATAGCAGGAAGTGACACACTTGAAGGCCTGCAACAACAATTCCTAGGAGCTAGTGAAAGTAGGTATTACATTTATAGTTATTTCTAAATAACATAATTGGGAAGTTTTGAACACTGAGTAGATATCTGAGCATATTCAAGAATTATTATTTTTTTAAGCATGACAATAGAACTTCTGTGGTTGATATTTCAAAGAGTATTTATAAAGCTCTATACTGAAGTATTTGTGAATAAACTGATAGAAAGTCTAGAACTTACTTCAGAACAATGTGTTGGGTAGGAGTATAGATGAAGCAAAACTTGCCATGAATTCATAATTGTTGACTGTTCCTGGGAAATGGGCGTATGTGGGTTCATTGTGCTATTCTTTCTACTCTCATATTTTTGAAATTTTACATAATTAAAAAGTTAAAAGAAAGAAAAATATAGATATGTTTTAAATTTTGTATTGGGGATTGAACCCAGGGTGCTTAACCTCTGAGCCACATCCCTAACCTCTTTTTATATATATATATATATATATATATATATATATATATATACATACATATATATATATATATATATATATTTTTTTTTTTTTTTTTTTGGTCTCCCTAAGTTGTTTAGGCCCTTGCTAAGTTGCTGAGGCTGCCTTTGAACTTGTGATTGCCCTGGCTCAACCTCCTGAGCCTCTGGTATTATAGGCGTGGACACTGTGCCTGAAAAAAAGAAAAAATTTTAACAATATTTTAGTCATTCTAGATTGTTAAGAACTTTTTATAAGCTTCATATATTTCTTACTGGACTCTACTTTGGAAAAAAGACAATTTTCTCATCAACCTCAGATTTTTTATTACATAGAAATATAATTTGACAAATCAGCCATTATTACCTTTTTTTTTGAGTCTTACAATTTTTGTGTAACAATTAGGCAACTCTCATATATATATTACTTTATGTTCAGAATTTGACATAGGTCTCAGATTTAGTCATGTGATAGTTGCCTCCAATGTTTTTTGTACAGTGTGTACATCAATATGACAATAAGAAAAGAGCTTATAGCTACTAGAGAATTTTAAGATGAAATACTGGTATCATAAATATCAAAACTTGAACAGCGACTATCCTGAATTGTACATCTAGCTTTTATTGTCATGCTCAGTGGCATAGTAAATTACTTCTAATTATTGTGTGTGTTGCAGAGCCAATGTGATTCTAGAGTGTGACTACAAGTTTTTTTTTTTTTTTTCCCCCCCTTTAATTAATGGTGGAAAGGTCATTCTGGATACTCTGGGTTACCTGGGCTACCCCGAGAAAACTGGATATATGTTGTGATTTCGTAGTATTGCTTCCAGCATATGCTGGAATATATACCATGGGATGATACCTAAAAGGTAGGGAGGGGCCCAGAATTCACTTTCTCTTGAAGGGGTCATCAGCAAATATGTGTGTCCTTTCTTTGTTCATATGTTTCTGTGGGATGAGGAAGTGTATTTGGCACAATTGGCTTTAGGCTGAATAACAGGCATCATAGCAGTGGCCTGGTGTTTCTGTGTCTCCTGGTCTTTCTGCATGCATAATCTTTCAACACCTTTCTTATCTATCTACATTTTTTTAAATTGATTACATATTTGCCTAAATTTGATATTTGGAAGTTAATTAAATAACTTAATGGGAGCTGGGGTTGTGGCTTAGCGGTAGAGCGCTTGCCTAGCATGTGCAAGGCCCTGGGTTTGATCCTCAGCACCACGTAAAAATAAATAAAAATAAAGAAATAAATAAAAATAAACTACAACTAAAAAGCAAATATTAAAAACAAAAGAATAAGTTAGAAATTAAAATAAAATAACTTAATGGAAGAATTAACTTTGGTAATTACAGCTTCTTATAGCAACATCAGTTTTAAAAAAAATATGAGTTTGGAGAGGTGGAGTTTGCAGACTTTTTTTTTTTTGAGCCAGTCTTGCTATAAGGCCTGAGGACTGTGACTTGGAACAAAGTTTTCAGTCTTTGTTTTTTGGATTTAACAGCGTCTCTTTTTAAAAAGGGGACTGAGTTATCTTGTTAGTAACTAAAACTTCCTAAATTAGTAAGTAAAATTTCCTATTACTGATTACAGAAACATTAGCCTAGTAGAAAATGTGAAATATTTATTGTTACATAATCGAAGCATTAGCCTTCTCTTACCAGTTATTATTTTCATTTTTTTTCCTAATCTTTTTAAGTGTTCTTTAAGATGACTTTGATTCTGAAAGATTTGTAAGTTCTTTATTAGTCTATTCTTAGTTAACTAATAGAGCAGTTATTTACTAATTTATATATATAAAGACAATATATTTAGCACTCCTGCCAAAGAAACACTATTTTGAGAGGGATATCTAACAGGTTTTTTAAAAAATTATTTTAATAGAAAATGATATACTTATTTTGTTTTTAATTTTATGAAAGCATATTACTCTATTCTGTTGTTGTTATATGCAGTGATTTTTAATTGACCAAACTGGTCAATTCAGGGTAATACCCTAAACCAGTAAATTTCACATTTTTGTGGCAGTGACACATAGTAAGAAGTACATTTTTTTACATTGTGATATGGTCCACAATATAAATCAATGTAAGTAAGTATATGTAAATGAAAAAGTTTCACAGGGGCTGGAGTTGTGGCTCAGAGGTAGAGTGCTTGCCTAGAATATGTGAGGCACTGGGTTTGATCCTCAGCACCACATAAAAATAAAATAAAGGTATTGTGTCCACCTACAAATAAAAAAATAAATGTTAAAAAAGGAAAGTTATTCTTAACTACATGAGGTACTCTGATATATTATAGTTGTTCTATCTTAATTTTTAAAAATATGAGTCATAGTCCACTACACTGTTTTCACAATACTCTCAGAGATATCTGCACAGCTTAAAAAACATGGCCCTAAATGACCATACATTTATATCTTGGTTTGTTTTTATCTAACAAATTGTCTTTAATTCTGCAGATTCTGCAGAAAACATACAGATTATTCAGCTTCAGGTTCTTAATAAAGCAAAAGGGAGACAACTGGACAACTTAGCTGAAAAATTAAATGAAAGTGAACGTCAAATTCGTTATCTGAATCACCAGCTTATGATAATTAAAGGTAAGATACCAATTGCTGCGTGCCAATGTTTATGAATTACACTAGAGCTAAACATCTTGTTTCCAATATGCTCAGTTTATTTCTTCTTCTGTTTTTTTTTTAATTATTTCCAATCACCTCAAATTACTTGGTTTGAGGACTTACAGTGAAATAGAGCAAGACAAAACTCCAGGACTTCTGAGCCCTTTTCTTGGATTACTTCACTTCAAGTATATTATTTTGGAGTGCTCATTTTTTCCCCCCATTTTCTTCTTTTCCTTTATTTTATTCCCCCTCCTCTTTTCTCTTAAGCTGTTAGAATCAATGAATGTGATTTAACTATGCTGATGGCATTCTGCCGTAAAAAAGCTGTTGACTTCTTATGTCATTAAGTATGCCAATTCCCAGAGTGACTGTTTAGTTTGCAGTGCAGTATTTTCTGAACCTATAGATTAGCATAAACATTTTAAGCCAAGTAGGAGTCTGAAATCCTGAAATGTTTTTGGTGTGCCACAGAGGAAACGGTGCCATTTCTGGTGTAATCACATAAAGGGAATTCAGATTCAGACGATAATTGGTTACTCTTCATGTTGTTTGTAGTTTTGGTTAATGCTGAACTTTCATTGGCAGAATAATTTTGTGACTGAACTCCAGCTCATTTCAAATTTAATTGATGATGAAAACCTCTTTTTCTGTATGCTCATAAAATTTATTTTGAGAGAGAAACTTGTGAACTGTTACTGCAAAGAATTTAAGATTAGGTGAATGAAAGAGTTATTTCAAGTATGTGTAGGGGGCAGGTAGTCTTCAGATATCTTTTTTGCTTAAAAAAGGGGTTTGTCACATCTATGTAGCTTCTCAGGTTAAAAAAAAATGCTGAAATTATTAGGAGATTCTTTTGGTCCAAAGAGGATATAATAAAATGTTAAAGGCAGCATTTCTGGTTCTCTGAAATATTTTTGGTGTCACTCAACTATTTTTTTTTAAATTTTAGTCATTTTTCTTATTTTCTTTAAGTCAACTAAAGTTCATATGTCTGAATTGAATTTGTTCAAAAGTATTTATGTAAATCTGATAAGTATTAGGATAATCAGGGCCCCTCTACACTAACATTTTTATAAACATTTTTAATGCTCTAGATGAAAAGGATGGCTTGACTCTCAGTCTTCGAGAATCACAGAAACTCTTTCAGAATGGAAAAGAAAGGGAGATACAGCTTGAAGCACAAATAAAAGCTCAAGAGGCTCAAATACAAGCATTAAAAGTCAATGAAGAAAAGGTACCTATTTTAACTTTATTTATGGTAAAAGAAAAGCAAAAAGTTATTAAGTGAAGAGTTTAGTCACTAAACAAAACTTTTGGTAGAGTAGAAATAAATTTAGAAGAGCATTTTACCTTCCTCCACCATAAGCTTGCTTCTTGTCTGACCTTGGAGGAGGGGTGCTGCCATTCTCCTGGCCACCTACACATGTGTCCAGAAGACCAGCTCCTCTCTTCCCTTTTCTCCATTTAGCCATTAAGTTCTGCTGATACCCCCTCTTCTCTGTCCATTCAGAATTTTACCTTCTTATTGCTAAAGTCTCTTAACCTGGTCCCTAGTCTTTACCCTTCCACATATTCTCTTATGACCATCTGAGTAATCTTTCTAGAATACAGTTTTGATTTTGTTATTCCCTTATATAAAGGCTTTCAGTGACCCCAATTTACCTGTGGGACAAAATACAGTAATCAGGATGACTCTCTGATCCTTGACTCTGCTCTTAATCTCTTCAGACTTCACAATTTGTTGTCTTTCTAAACTCATGTGTATCATTTGCCTCTGGTGTGCCTTTTCTACAGCACACTATTTGATTAACAAATCCCTGAAAACAGGTTTTCTCTAAGTCTCCCCTGCTTCCTTCCTCAAACCATCACATCTATTATAATAGATCAAGAACACCTTGAAGGCATCATTGGGCCGCCCTCATCTTTGTAGACCCATGATCTAGGCCAGCAACTGGCATGTAGTTTGGTGGTTGGTATATGTTGAGTGAATGTAGTTGTTCAAAGTTGATCCAGTTTTCTTATATATTTCTTTATTCAGGCTCCGATACTATTATAACTGTAACTTTATGGTATGCTTTGAAATTGGTAATTAAGGTAGTAAAAAATTTTGCGTTTTGTTTACATTTTCTTGTCTAGATCTTGCAAATAAACTTTTTATGTTTTGAAAAAAGAAATCTTGTTGATATTTTGATTAGCAAGGCATTGTAGTTTATCATTTTATAAATGAGTTCACCAAGTTTTGGAGAGGGCCCAAGTTTATAAAGCCACGTATTGACTGAGCATCAGAACCTAAATTTTCTGACTCCAATAGTTTCTTTCCTTTTTTTAATTTTTATTTTATTTTATTTATTTTTTTTAGTTGTAGATGGATACAATGCCTTTATTTTATTTTTTGTGTGGTGCTGAGGATCGAACCCAGTGCCCTCCACATGCAAGGCAAGCACTCTACCACTGAGCTACAACTCGTTTCTTATCCTTATCTAGAGAAGGTATCTTTTTTTGGCTTGGTGGGGTGGGGGATGAGGCAGGTGATGACTGCTGCTTCTTAAACATTTGGGGAGCTGTTCTTTAGATTTGCCTTTTTTTGGATAGTGGATTGAACTTGGGGACTCGACCACTGAGCCACATCTCCAGCCTTATTTTGTATTTTATTTAGAGACAGGGTCTTACTGAGTTGCTTAGCACCTTGCTTTTGCTGAGGCTATCTTTAAACTTGTGATCCTCCTGCCACATTCTCCTGAGCTGCTGTGATTACAGGCTTGCACCACTGCACCCAACTAGATTCACCTTTTAATAGTGTTTTTTTTTTAGTGTATTATAGTTTTACATAATCATGGGGTTTATTTTGACATATTCATGATACATATAACATAATTTGCTCCATTTAAATCCTAAGCAAATGGATCAATGTCTTAGCAAGGAAAGCAGTATTGGAATAAATAGGTAATTTCTAGAGTAAAGCATGAGATTTTCATGCATAATATGGATTATTTTTAACTTTTTGAAAACTGACAAACTTTGAGAAGTTAATTTTTTATATTGTAAAAGATTATAACATTGTAATCTTTTATAAGTTAGAAATTGCTAATAGAATATTATGATATTTTATTTAAAAATAGAATATCATAAATGAAAACTAAAAGGCAACAGAGTCACCAACTGTATATAGTTCCTATTACTTTTGTAACAGATTACCACAAATTCAGTGTCTTCAAATAATACAAATTTACCTCACAGATCTGGATAAAGATCTGATAAAGATCTGATAAAGATCTTATTGGGCTAAAATCCAGGTGTCAGCAGGGCAGCATTGCTTTTCTGGAGGCCCTAGGGAGAGTCCACTTTCTTGCATTTTTCCAGTTTTTAGAGTTCACCTGCATTCCTTGCCTTGTGGCCCATTTCCATCTTCAGAACCAGCAGCATCTGGTGGAATCTTCCTGGTTCTGATTTTTCCACTATTTATGACTCAGTGGTTACATGGGGCCCATATGGATAAACCAAAATAATCTCCTTATTTTAAGGTTATCTGATTAGTAACATAATTCCATCTGCAACTTTAGTTTTCTCCTGTTCTATAACATAACATATTCATAGATTTGGGGGATTAGGAAACCCCTTTGGGGACATTGTTTTACTTACAGTACTAGCTATACTTTCAAAAGTGTTTTTAATGGGGCATGACGGCACACACCTATAAGGCCAGCTACTTTGGAGGCTGAGGCGGGATGACTTCAGCCAAGGAGTTCAAATCCAGCCTAGGCAACATAGTGAGATCCTGCCTCAAAAAACCCAAAATAAAACTTTGTTTTGGCAAATTTTAGCAGTCTTTTAAGGAATGGTTATAATTTTTCTTTGACCTAACCCAACTCTATTGGGTTGCCCCATACTTTGCTCACAGATCAATGCACGTACTAATAGCACCAGTTCACTAGCAGCAGGTTCCTTGCCTGTAAGTTACCCGTATTGCTATCATGCTGTGCAAAATCCTTTCTTTCTTCTCAGGTAAATGCAAAGTCTATTTTTTCAATGAATATTGTTTTCAACAACTGCAGGCCCCTTGGGCAGCAGCTAGGAAAGTTTTATAGAGCTAAGACCTTGATGTGGGAGACCCCTTCTTCTCCACTCTTATTAAAGCCTGATTGAGTTTTAAATAGGGCTCACAGGGTTAAGTACTCTCACCATGGATATCCTATGTGTATTTACTAGATGATCAAGAAGTCCAGAACAACTGAAATGGCTCTGGAAAGCTTGCAGGAGCAACTGGCAGAGCTTCATCATTCTGAGTCGCTTCAACGAGCTAGAGAGCAGCATGAGAGCATTGTTATGGGCCTTACAAAGAAGTATGAAGAGCAAGTGTCATCCTTACAAAAGAAGTTGGATTCTACAGTTGCTGCACTTAAAGAACAGGTTGGGATGATTTCAGATGACCAACTACTATCAACAAGTAAAGTTGGTTATGTTTTATAACTGATATTTTGCAGTACTCATATAGAAATCTTGGATGTTTGCAGTAGGTGTTTGATTGTAAATGAAACTTAAAAGTTAATGATGTTTCAATCTATGAATAGATCCTGGAAGAATACTTTTGGAAACCCTTCTTCCTATAGAATTGGTTAGTACTTTCTCAATTTTCATTTTACTAGTCTTTTATCTGTAGAGTATTTATGTGTGTTCATCACATTGCCCTAGAATAAGTCCAGCATGAAAGAAATGAGTGCTGGAGGCTGGCCAGAACCTGAGAGTTTGTCCTTAGAGCTTAACCAGGGTCTCTCAGCATTTGATAGAGTGTTGAGAAATGGTCAACACTTTGATAGAGTCAGTAGAGTGTTGAGAAATGGTCCTTGGGAGTAGAGTTAATTTTGAGAATACAGTTTGAGCAATTCTAACCTGAAAATCTGAATTCCAGAATGTTCCATATAGTTGACGTGACAGCTCAAGTGGAAAGTTCCAACCTAACCTCATGTAATAGGTTGCAGTCAAAATGCATATGCACTAAAATATCCTTAAAATTCCCTTCAGGCTGTGTGTAAGTGTATAAGAAATGTAAGTGAATTTCATATTTAGACTTGTACCACGTGCACAAATACCCGATTACATATATGCAGATATTCCAGAATTGAAACATTTCAGGTAAGGGATACTCAACCTGTAGTGTAATGTATAAAATAGAGAAGAAAATCTCATCTAAACTCCATGGATATTTGAAGCTTGAGCTTATTTCACAGGGATTATTTATTATTTTTGCTCAAAAAGGAATAAAATATTATAGGCTGAGGTGAGTTAGGTGGCGGGTTTACTTGTACTCCAAAATGTTTATTAATCATTTGAATAAAATTTCAGAATGCATTTATCCTAATGCAATTTCAGAATTAATTTAACCCAAGGGAAGAGGAGAAGAAACAAACTTGCAGGAGTATGGAAGCATCATACCTAAAATGATTCCTGATTTGGGTTATTTCTGATTTATATAGGACTCTAACTTTCCCATGCTTTTCAATGGTTATATATAAGACTACATTATTGGTAGTACTAATTGTTTATATACAGTTTTATGTGTAACTATGAGTTCTTGCTAGATTTGTTTTACCAATTATGTTTTTATTTTATATAGAAAGATATTATGAATTTGATTATATGGAGGATATACAGGAGTGGAGAAAGATGAAGACTGTGCCAAATTATTGAAAAGTCTATTTCATAGACTATTTAAACAAATATAATTGGATATTTATTAATTTTATTTAAAAACTGCCATCTATTTAATTATTTATTAATTTTGGCCCAATGTAGTGTAGTAGAATTAAAGTGAAAATGGTCATTGATAGATGTTAGGAGAAGAGTGGAGTGTGGTGTCTCTTCCATGTTAGGTTATTTGAAGCTCTATGTTCTCTGTTGACTTTGACATAGTTACATTGGGGACAGGCTAGAAGGAATTTATAGTACGTTCTGCCCTGTACTACTACATTCTTTATTTTCATCATCCACTCTCTTCCTTAACCTTCAACTAGCTGACAGGAAAAAGTCTTCATTCTCTTTTGAGTAGGCTTTCAGACTCCAAAAGGTGTTGATTAAGGTCTTTCCCACTGTTACCCTTCATGACTGGTATTATTTTTTAACAGAGCATGTCACTGGTGTTAGAATTAACATATAATTGCACATTTGCTTAACAAGGTGATGATTCCAAAGGGGCTATGGTTGGTTGTTTCTGGGAATGTTTTTATGGTATCCTTTCTGTGCTGTCAAATTGTTATCTATTGGGTTAGCAGTACTTATTATCTCAGAATCCAAATTGAGATTCCTGATTAGGTAAGTGCTATAAAATCAACCAGGAGCCAGGGAGATGTGTGGGAGACCAACCTCGTATAAGGCTGGGTTAACTCCCCTGCTGGGCGATGTGGCATCAGGCACCCATCCTGCTAGACTGTCCTGCTCTTCTAGGGTTCCAGTGACTTGTGTCTTCCTGCCCAGGCTAGTTTTCCTTACTGCCCCATGGGTAGAGCTATGTTCACCTGTTTCTTTGTAATATAACCCCTTGCCCTGTTTAGGATAGAATCTTCCATGGAAGTGCCTTGTGTGTGTCCCCCTCTCTTACTGTGCCTTTGGGTGTGGCCTACCCAGATGTCAGTCAACCTGCTGACAGTGGACATCATGAAGATAGACTCAGCCCCCTGAAACCTGATCCCTTGCCTCATTTGAATAGCTTCTCCTCAATAAAAGGGATCAGCAAGTGCTCTCTCTCTCTCTCTGTCTTCCTTCGGACCCTTAAGGTCAGAGGAACCGTCACAGCGACCCCAAAGAAAAAGATATTTGTGTCTCTTGTGTGGTTATTTTGCGCACCCCAGTTAGCCCAGTTCAACTAGAGTAACCCCTGAGCCTTTTAGTCGTGAACAGAAACCCGGCAGAGATGTCTTGAAATTAGAAAAATGCATGAGTATGTTCTCTACAGAGTTAATTTAGAATTTCTTACATAACTGATAACTATCCATACATACTACATTTTGCCCTTCTTTTTTTTTTTAACAAATTTACCAAAGAGATATAAAATATTCCCTTTCATCTAACTCTTTCTCCAGTATACATAAAAAATAAAACAACTCTTGGAAAATAGTGGTAAGGTACTGGATAATTTACCTTGTTGAAATTGAGTAAATAGCTAGATTTACTCCACTAGCTAGATTGAATGGCTCTTATGTAATCATGCATAACTGTTCCTGTATACTGTATGTACACAGTGTTAAGAGTAGATGTTCACACATAGTAAGTTTTGCTAGTTACAGAGGTTTGTAACCTTCTAAGACAGTCCATGACTAAGCTCCAGGGAGTCTATGAATCCTCTGAAATGATGGGTAAGATTTTCTATTGGGGTGAGAGTGCACAATTTTGTGGAAAAGACCTATCACCTTTTTAAGATAGAAAATTTCTAAGAGGTCCATGCTTCTCTTGCAAAAGATTGAAAATTCTTGCTTCATAAAGATATTGTTCTTAGTGGGAATGAACAACTAAATTGTAAATGAATCCTATTATCTCATCTATTCAACAGCCTTTTCCTGAACAACTAAACATATAAGTTGTAAACAGGCTTATGTAAGTTAAATTATGTGTATGTGCATATATAATTTTTTTGAGCAGTTTTAGGTTTATACCAAAGTTGAGTGGAAATAACAGCATTTCCCATAGTCCCTATTTCCCCACATATACATAATCTGTTCCATTATTAATATCTTGCACTAGAGAGTGATATATGGAATTTTCCATGTAAACTTTAGTGTTATTCAGTTTTTTAGTATCCACAAAATAATTAGCTGGGATTTTGATTAGGTTTGCGTTGAATCTGTAGGTAAAAATTGGAAAAAAAGTGACATCCTGACAATATTGGGTATTTCTTTCATGAACATGGAATACTGTTCATATATTTAGTTCTTCATTGATTTCTTTCACCAGAGTGTTGTAGTTTTAAAGAACTTTTATATATTTTAGATTTATATGTATTTCATGTTTTGGGGATGCTAATATAAATGATATTGTTTTAAATATTTAATTTAAGTTCTACTTGCTCATTATTGGTATATAGAAAAACAATTGACTTTTTTGGATTAACCTTGGATTCTACAAACTTGCTATAATCACTTATTAGTACCAGGATGGTCATATTGTCTATGGGTAAATATTTTTTTTCATCCTTCCCAATCTGTGTACTTTTTATTTCCTTTTATTGTTTTATTGCATTGAGTAGAATTTCTAGTATGATGTTGAAAAGCAGTGATCAGAGGGTCATCCTTGCCTTTTTCCTGATCTTTGTGGGAAAACTTCAAGTTTTCACTGTTAGGTTTAGTTTTAGTGTTTTTTTTTTTTTTTTTTTAATCAGATGAAGACGTTCTTCTTAATCAAGTTTGTTGGTTTTTAAGTCATGAATTGGTATTTAATCATTTTGAAAGACAGAATTCTCTAATTCCATGTGATGGGAGGGATAACACTCTGTAAGAGAGTTGGGGTTTTTTGAATGTCTGTAACTAGTATATTTTGAGAAATATGTATCTTGTAAAATAATATCATTTAATATTTTCCTTAAGATATCATTCTGTGTAGAAAAGATTGTATACATGTACAAACAACATGTACAATTCTTTTTTATTTTGACTGAGTTCCTCTTAAGTTTTTTTTAGTGTAAGAGAAAAGATGGGAAGAAATGGTTTCCTTAGAGCTCATGGAGTTTCTGTAATGACAAAGAATGGGAGAGGGAACTATTTCCTAATAGTGATTATGTCCTGTACTGTCTCCTCCCAACTTTACTTTACCTCCTCCCATTTGTAGAAGTATCATATTAAGATCTCTTGATTATCTCCTTGATGGTATATTACCTTTCTTTAAGCTGGTGGAGCTTTAGAACTGTGCTTCTCAACATGGCCTGGGAATCAGCAGCAGTATGCCAAGAGGTTTGCAGTGCTGAATAAACATGGACAAGTTTCTAGAAGCTTCATTTTACTAAAAAATTTGGTAGAAAATTTTTAAAGCAAACACAGCTACATTATGAAATAGCACACAAAATTTACATGAATTTTTAAAGTAAAATGAGAGCTTTTAGAATCCTTTTCCTATGTTTAGGAAACTTCTGTTAGTTTCTTTTTGGGATGTACTTATGTATTCTTAAAGCATTTTTGGGCTTTAGGTTATTCTGTGGATCTGGCACCAAAGGCCTTCCTTCTCTCTGCTTCAAAGCCCCTTCTTGATATTCTCTTCTCTCTGCTTCAAAGCCCCTTCTTGATATTCTCTTAACTACTTGTTTTTTTTTTTTTCTCTCTTTCAAGAATTTCAATCAACTATCTATATCTATTCCGATGTCTCTTGGTGTTCTGCCATTTGCCTGAAATTCAGCCAAGGTAGCCATTTTTTTAATGAGGTGATGATTTCTTCTACCTGGGTTTTGGATTTCCATGGCTTGTACTCCCAAGCACATTTTCTTTTTGGAGAAATTTGAGTGTATTGTTTATATATTCTGTATTATTTATACATCCCCATACACATACACTCACCCTCATTTACCCTCTCTGGTTTTTCATTGTCATTCAGTTTTTAAATGCTTACTGTAATAGCTACTGTATATAAGGCACAGTAGAGGCATCTTCAAGGAGAAAATTAAGGAAATAAGACATATAACAGGAAGAAAAAGAAGCATAAGAGAGAAACAGATCAAGTTTTTAAAAAGTTCAGAGAAGGGAAAGATTATTTTTGGCTGTCCTGAACAGAGCGAGCTTTTGGCTGCTCAGAGTAGAGTGTGTTTCCATGTGTTTATCTGTATCCTTACTGTCCTAGGATACAAATTTCATGATTCAAACTGGTCTGCCTAAATATGTATACATATACTTAAACTGGTAGCATAAAATGCAGAGAAGAATTGTAATTCGTTTCCTGTGGCATAAATAAAATCTAACTTTAGAATACATTGTTTTGTGATTTTGTGAATGTGGAGTAGAAGGGGATTTTAGGAATCACCTTTATCAGCATAATTACGAAAGAAGCCAACTGAGATATTGAGCCTAAGATCATACAAGTTTTTTCTTTTGACTCCCAGTCTTGCGCACTTAGCCCCCAAAAAGTGATGCTGCAATGTGATAAGTATATATTTGATTTAAAATCTGACAATGTATCAAAATTTCAGTCTAATATTTCTTAAAATTGATCCTTAAAATGACTTCTTGAACCCTTTTTCTATGTAGGAAGATATTTGTTCTCATTTGAAAGATCACGTGAAACAACTGGAAAGGAGTCAAGAAGCTGCCAAATTAGAAAAAACTGAGATCATTAATAGGTTGACGAAGAGTCTGGAAGAGAGTCAGGGGCAGTGTGCCCAGTTGTTGCAGTCAGGTGGGTGCCTTGTTGGGCTACTATCTCCCCAGAAGCCCAGTGTAATGTTTAGAGAGAACACAGTAGGAACCATGGTTGATAAAAACCCAGAAAATGTCAACAGAGAAGACAACCAGTGACAAATTTCTTTTTAAAAAAATATTGTTATATAGGTATAAAGGCACAGATCATTTTTATTAGATAATTTTGAAAATGCTGACAAGTGTATTGAATGGAAAAACCAATAATCCTACTACTCAGGGATAAAAATTATTAATGTTTGAATGTATTATTCCTTCAAAATAAATGAATACATATGCATAGGTAATGCCCTGCTTCTGTTTATAGTACATTTCTGAAAATATACTAAAGCCTAATATGTACAATTCAACAATAAAGTATATAAAGTGAATTCTGTTTCTGAAAACTAAAATAATTATAAAATCTCATTATATTTTGCTTTTTGTAAACCCAATATTTGATGATAATGTATAGTTCTGTCCTTTTGAATAACTTCTTCAGTTTTTTTCCTCTCACAATGGAATAGCCACTTAACCTGATCATTGAAGCCAGAGAGTTAACATTTTTGTTGTTCTTAAGATTTCTAGAATGGTCTCTTGGTATTAAGTTTGAGACATTGGCTTCCTGTCCTTTTAATGCTAGCAATAGTTTTATTCCTTGTTTTTTTCCTTATAAAATTATTTTAGGGTAAAGCAATAAAATAATTGTCCATTTGTCTGCATACAGACAAAACAGCCCATTTTCTGGTGAACAGCTCACACTATGAACAAAAGTCAATGGTTATTCATTAAATGAAATCTGAAATTCCTACTTTGGCTATGAAGGGCACTTGAGACTTTTGGGTATGATATGGAAAAGGTTGGTTTACTCACAGCTTGAAAGCACTGAGGTCAAGGACTGACTGTGTATATGCATATGTATATTTATTTAGGTGGGAAAAAAATTGGATCAGATTTTAGGTCCCCCTTCCTGTGTAGTTATGTATCCATTTTTCTCACTTGGCATTACTTGGTGAGCTCTTTTCCTGGCCATTAAAGGATTTCACAGTATGATTTCCTTTAAATGCATAATACGCCATGATTACTTTGCTTAGTAATTTCCCAGATGGTCATTTTCTTTTGAGGAAACCCAATAAAATCTCTTTAAATGGGTATCTCCCCTAGTACATTTAACATATTAGTTTGCTAAAGTTTCAGGAAGCACAACCTTAATATACTTTTTCCACATATAGAGGTGGAAGTGGTAGAAATAAAAACAATTAGAAAAAAGCTAAAAGCAGGAAGATGTAGTTTTCTTAGTGGATAGTAGAAATGGATAGAAATGAATTCCACGGGATTTTTTTTTTCTTTCTGTGATTTAGAATGTTTTACTCCTGTTAAAAGACTTCTGGAGTGCTAGTGTTTGTAGATGTGGCTGATTTGATTTATAACAAGGTCACAGTAACCTACACCTTTGGCTCCCCAAGGACATATGGGGCCATATGAGATCTTTGCAAAGTCTGCCAAGGTCCCTATTCCTTGAGGGTAATAAAACAGAACTGCACCTTCCATAGCACAGTGGATTCAAGTTCTTTGGACCACACGTACTTTTCTCCCTTTCATTTAGCATATCCTGTGATTTTTTTCCTCTGCAGGCTCAATACAGGAAGTGGCTCAGCTACGGCTCCAGCTGCAGCAAGCACAAAAGGCACACACTATAAGCGAGAACATGAACAAGGCTTTGCAAGTGAGTATTGCAGCTTGGAAGAGACTTTCTGGGTAGCTGCATTAGGCAGTGATTACATCACCTTTTTGAAGTTTAGATTACTCTGTGATAGAGGTGGCTGGACCCTTTTCTTGCCAGCCTATAGAAGCTGTTCATAGTCTTACCCACACCATTTGGTCTCCAAGCCCAGGTCTGTCTTACTGCAGAGCCAGGGCCCTGCCATCTCCTTCATATGTCCTCCTTCATGCCTCCTTATATCTGGAGGTGTATTCCAGAGAAAAGTTTAGGTACAAGTATGGGAAATTTCTTTCTTTTTTTTTTTTTTTTTGGTACCAGTAGGTACTACTGTCCTACATCTCCAGCTCTTTTTTAGTTTTTTTAAATTTTGAGACAGATTCTTTCTAAGTTCCTTAGGGCCTCCCTAAATTGCTAAGGCTGGCTTTTAACTTGCAGTCCTCCTGCCTCAGCCTTCTGAGCTGTTAGGATTACAGGCATATATCACCATGCCCAGTTAAGTGTGGGGAATTCTTAATTTGACTGCAGTTTTTTTCACATCCTCCTTAAGTACTACTCACATTTTCCACTGAACAGACAAGAAACACTGGAGAGGAGTTCCAGTGTTACCTCCACTGAAAGAAGTATTTTGCTTTTTTGCCACTGGCAGGTGAAAGTATAATAGGTTCTTGGCAACCCACCTACTTTGTCCTCTGCTCTAGTAAGCCGGAGACACTGCCATCAGCATCTCAGCTCAAGAGATGCTTTTCATGTAGGACAAAATGTTAGCAAGAGACGTCCTAGAGAAATAAGACGAATGTTTTCTCATTCATTCGTTTATGTATTCATTCAGTTTTCTTAAAAACCTTATATATATATGTCTTAATTATAATGCATGGTAATAATGTACTTGAAGAAGTTTTTCTGCCTTCTTTTGATCCTTAAAATAAATTTTGATACAGATATAATGGCTGATTATAGGAAAATAATAGAAATTATTTTCACCAATTTGTGTCTTCATACATGTACTTTGGATAATGATGTCCATCACATTCCACCATCCTTGCTAACCCCCTGTCCCCTCCCTTCCCTCTGCCCTATCTAAAGTTCGACTATTCCTCACATGCTCCCCCTCCCTACCCCACTATGATATACAACTAGAGATATGAAAAATTGTGCTATATATGTGTAATAAGAATTGTAATGCATTCTGCTGTTATTTATTTTTAAAAAATCAATTAAAAATTTTTTTAAAGGGTAATTTAATCAGACAATGTTAAGCACTTAATAAAAATCAAGATCTATTACAAAAAAATTATTTTCAATAATTTTGTGTTGCAGGAGGAATTAACAGAACTAAAAGATGAAATTTCTCTCTATGAATCTGCTGCAAAACTAGGAATACCTCCAAATGACTCAGAAGGAGAATTAAATATAGAACTCACTGAATCATATGTGGATTTGGGTATTAAAAAAGTCAACTGGAAAAAATCCAAAGTTAACAGGTATTGAGAGAATGTTTTAGTTTACTGTAGAACTTACGTTAATAAAGTTGGTATTGCATGGTAAACAAGTGGCAGCAGGCAAGAAACGATGAGATGAATAGGGGTTCTGAATATGGAACGGTATGTTTTATGTGTAGTCTGAAATCGAGATGAACAAACTTAATGTATTGGTACTGTAGTGTCTTCAACACTCAAACATATCACTTTCAAAAAGGTAAAAAGTGACTAATGTAGTTAAAGGACACAGAGTAAATTCTAAAGCTGAGATTATCTGTTTTAACTATTAGTGTGAGGGCATATTATTTTTATATATTAACCCTGTGTGTTGAAAGTGGATAACCTTACATTTGTTAATGGTATATGATAAAAGAAGCACTGCTTTTTTTTTCCCTTGGAACCTCACTGTGACCTTACTCTTAAAATAGGGATTCTTTTTTAAAAATAGGTTCTTTTTAATAATACATGACAGCTGAATAATCTATTCTGACATAATTATAAAAGCATGGAATATGTTTTGTTCTAATTCAGTCCCTAGTACCTTTACCCCACCTCCCCATCTCCCACTCTCTTCCCTCTACTCTGCTGATCCTTCTGCCATTTACTTGTAGGGAGTTTGTCTTCTACTACTGCTTTATACAGATACTTTTAGCAATCTCACAGAATGCAGTACTTTGTCTTTTTTCCAGGAAGGGATGGGAGAGGGGTGGTGGTGGTAGAAGAGGAAGCATTAGACATTTACAGGATGAATGAATGAGACTTTTATTCATTCACACTGTTGAGACACTTGCTACATGGAAGGTGCTATGTAAGGCTTCGGGAATAGAGGCAAAAAATGAGTTAGAAACACATTTTATGTGTTCAGGAAGAAGGTGACATACCCATAAGCAACTAAGTGCTATGTGTCCATGCATGGGATTGGGGGTACTTATCCATTCCCTCTATTGGTTAGGTTAGGGATGAGATATGAGGTGTTGGGAAGAGGTTGCATTTAAGCTAAGGAAAGCTTTTCTTGAATACAGTTGTCTCTCATCACCACTTTCTGGTTTATAGTTTAAGACTGAGTTTACCATCATGATAATATTATTTTTCAGTGAGACCATTTAATTCATGTCTCAGATATGTGTTTCAGATATTTTGCAAGTAAATACAAACAAATCTCTTGAAGAATTTGCTCATTAGTTTTTTTAGAGTTTGTATATTTTAATATGGCAATTTCCGTTTTTTTAGAATGGTAAGATGCAGTTCAGCAAAATGAAATCTAAAGCGATCAGGTGAATTGTGAAAAATATTATTTTAATATGCCTCCACTTATCTGGAAGCCTGACTTCAGGAACTCTTGTGTGTATAGAACACAGCTACAATCTGTAAGGAAACAAGAAAATAGCGGAACTAGATTATGCAATGTATATATTAGGAGCCACCTTCAAGCTTGTTTCTCAGGGCCATATTGACTTAGATTTATTCAGATAAATTATCTGATTTCCTGACTACAGTGTGTAGCTGGGGCAGGGGCTGGGGGCAGAGAAGTTCTGTCAGTTCCTGAGCTAGGCAGCTCAGACTTAGCAAGAAGAGAAATAAGGAAACCCAAGAGGCTGGATTTGCTGACCATCAGGGCATATAGCCTCACACATTATCCACACAGGTTCTATCCACATCAGAATGTCCACAATAATGGTCCCATGTTGAAGAAAGGCTTCCACTTTGATTTGTTTGTTAAAACAGAAGAGGAGTGTGCTTCATAGTTTTAAGACAGATTTACATAAAAATGTGAAGTTAAATATAGTTGTCTGGAAAACTCACTGCCTTGAATGCCTCATTACCTATCAGTGCCAGATTAATTCTAAGGGGCTAGTGAAAGAGCATGGACTTTAGATCCAGACTGTTTTGAACCATAGTTTTGCCATTTATTACCAGCTTTATGATCCTAGGCATAAAACTGGTAATAATACCTTTTTCTGAGTGTGTGCTTATCAAGCTTGATATCCTTTGGAAGTTAAAGTGAATATTAAGGTAGATAATGAATATAAGAACCTCATGTAATATGTTCTGGCACAGATTGGGCACTTAAAATAGTAGCTATTACTGTTATTATGTAATAGATGATTAGTTAAAATATGCCCTGCATCATGTTTTAATTGAATACATACTTGAGCTAAAGTTTTTGATCCTCAGTCTTGTGACAAATGTTGGATCCAATCTCATCACGTTAGAAATGGGGAAAACTGGAGCCCAGGGAGTTAAGCACCTTTGTTCAAGAAGATGCTTAATTAGCAGCAGAACCAGTACTTGAGCCCCGAATTCCTGAGGCCAGGCCCAGTTTTACATTTTTTTATGTTTATGAGACAGTTAAACCTTTTTGCCTTAGAGTTCATTTTTATTTACATCTTTTATTTTTGTGGATTAAAGATGTAGTTCATGCCAAAAAAAGTTTTTCTCCAATTTGTTATTACCTTGAGTTTGTGTCATGGCCTGGAAACTGGGTAAATAGTACATTACATGTATGTTTATCTTTTTACAAAATTTATTTTGTTATGAGGTCTACTAAAATCTAGTCGACTGCATTTGTACTTTTTAGTTGGTTAGCACTCATAGCCACAATCCTCTAGTGATTTTAAAGCATGTTCCTATAGATAATAAATCTGAGACATCACATCAGGACAGACACATTAAACAGGTAAGTGGAGAACAACTGAAGCAGGCTGGTTAGTCATTGAGTTCATTGAGAAGACATCCAATGAAATGCAGCATAAGGGAAGAAACATTCAGCTTCTAGTCATCCCTCACACCAGTGTTAACAGATGATAATTGTGCTTTGAAAAAACTACAAATAATTATTTTCAGATCAAATTTAAAGGGCATAGGTGAGAAGAGATTTGTACCTTTCCTTTGGGTGAACTGTGTGATTCTTAAAATAAGAGGAAGCAGCAGTTTTCCCAATATTGAGAATTTTAGGTTGACTTGAGCTACCTTCAAATCACTTACCCAAATAGTAGTGGCTCCAGCTTGTATTACCAACACCACCTCCCTTAAGCTACTGACTAGTAAATTTTAAGGGCTTAACCTCAGTGTTCTATTTTACGTTCATGGAATTTGAGTAGCTAAATCTGCATGCAGCTTGCAGACAGCTTCCTCTCTCTCTTATTATAGTTGGCTGCTAAGCTCAAATAATAAACATTTAACAAGTGGAATGCCTTTTCCCTTTGGTCTTCGCAGCAGGCTTCATAAGGGACTACAGTTTATTTGAATTTAAGGGAACCAACGTCCATAGGGCTTTAATAGTAAGCCTAAATGAAGAACTGGTCCCCACCACTGGCTCTTTCCCTTTTGAGGAAAAAAGAGAAAATTATTTTAGCAAGCACTTTCTCTGCTAACTTGGCTCCCTCTAGAAGTACAGGATGTGCTATTTCAGTGGTCAACATTTAGTCAGAAAAGAAATGAGGGAGGCATAATTTTTTAACTGAGCAAAATAAATACTGTACTTATAATTCACCACATAGCATAGCACAGGAAAATACAATGTCATGTGTTTAATATTGTATTTCTTACATAATTATATTTCTAATTCTTATAATTATTATGTCTTCTATTTCTACATAGAAATATAGTGGTTTAAATATAGTGGATTTCATGTAGTGGTTTAAATAGGTGAGATCTTCTATACACAAACATAGTTACGTAATATGTATTGCATATACAAAAACTACCTATATATATCACAGGGAACTTCTTTTATAATTTTAAAAACTCTACAAAATATTATTCCTTCTCTCTTTTTCTATACATACAAAATATTCTAACATTTTATTTGGAATCATCTGAAAACTGAAGACTAGTAAAAATTTTGACTCAGATCCTATAATTTTTAAAAAAATACTTTTTAGAACAGCTTGGGTTTACAAAAAAAAATTACATCATGGGGAGAGTTCCTATATATGCAGCTCCCATTTTTGCCTACTAACATCTTACATTGACCTGGTACATTTGTTAAAGTTAATTGATATTGATGCATTATTATTAACTAATGTTTATAGTTTATTTAGATGTTCTTAGTTTTTACCCAGTGTCCAATTTCTCAGGATCTCATCCAGGTACCACATTACATTTAGGAGTCATGTTTCCATATATTCTTCTTGACTTCTTTTGTTTTAATGATATTGACTGTTTTGAGGAATATTATTCAGGAATATTGGAATTTGATATTTTTCTCATGATTATATTTTTCTCATGGTTTCTATAGAAAACCACAGAGATGAGATTCCATTTTAGTTTCTTCATATTAAAGGTGTACACTATCAACTACTACTTTCCAAAAGTAACTTTCTCCTCCATTGGGGAAAAATTAGAAATACAGATTAAGAAAAAAGTAAAATCACCCATAATATTACCTCATTTTGTGTGAAGAAAACCACTGTTAACACTTTATCTAACTTCCATGTTATCTGCTTTGCGTGTTTCCAAAAAATAATATTGAATATACTGTTTTATGATATGCTTTAACTTAGTACATTGAAATCTTTTAATGTTAGTCAATATTGTTATATATAATTTTTAATGGATATATAGATTCATGAACCATATTTTAGTTTGTAGTATAATATTGTTTAAAAATTTTTATTATAAGTAATTCAGTATCATTATTACAATCATCTTTGTATTCAAATCTTTATTCACATCTTTATTTCCACAAGATGTAGAATTATTGCCAAAGGGTTTTCACATAGTTAAGGATTTTGTCAGATGTTGCCAAACAGTCCTAACGTTTACATATTACCTATATTGTGTGGCAGTACCTATTTCTCTGCACCCTAACCATTGCTTAAAGTTATCACTTTTCCTGTTTAAAATTGTATGTCCTACATTATTAGATCTATCACTCTTTTCCTTTATAATTTCTTCATGTTTAAAAAGGTGCTTTCTGTAGTTTTATTTTACTTTTTAAACACTTAAAACTGTGAAATATAACCCAGAGAGTGCATGAAACATGAGTGTAGAGTTTAACA